GCGCACTGATGTCTAGGGCGATGGGCGGGGTGTGGACTCCTTCGCTATGGCAGCCCGCGTTTCCCCTGAGTCTTGGGTTTCCTGACACCTCCAGCAAGCGAGATCTCTTGGGCAGTCGTCGCAGTCATGTACCCGCCGCCGCCGCCGCCGCCGCCGCCGCCGGCGCCTCACCGGGACTTCATCTCGGTGACGCTGAGCCTGGGCGAGAGCTACGACAACAGCAAGAGCCGGCGGCGGCGTTCGTGCTGGAGGGTGAGGCGGGGCCGGGCCGGGGAAGTCCTGCCGCGGGTAGTGCCTAGCTGGAGCGTCCTGGTCTCTTCCAGCTTCCCGAAGTTCCTCTGCCGCGTCTGGTTCTCGCGGCTTGAAGCCCGGTGTTGTTGGTTCCCCTGCCTAATGCCAGGTGTTCTGGGGGTCCTTGGCTGAGGGGCACATACACAGCATGTATTGTCAGATGTATGGTCGGTCGATGCCCGAGCCAGGTCATGGAGTTTCAGGAGTTTTTCTCCAGTGTATGTGCAGCTGGACAGATGGTGTACAGTGCTTTTGCCACGTATGAGCTAGTGTGCTGTCACTTCTGGTGCTGCCCTAGTAATGTAAACTTTGCCCTCAAATGAGACCATACCATAGGGTTTCCCTGAATTGCCCTCCTCGCCGAATCTGTGACAAGTGTCTTTTTCTGGCTCTTTCTTAGAAATGGAAGCAACTTTCGAGGTTACAGCGGAATGTGATTCTCTTTCTCCTGGGCTTTCTGATTCTCTGTGGGTTCCTGTATTGTCTTCAGGCGGCTGACCAGTGGAAAGGTATCAGAAATACCAGTGGTGCTAGGGCAGAGGGGATGCAGGCTGAGGTCAGATATATTTTCTCAATCCAGATGAAACAGTACCAGGAGGCATATGTGTTGACAGATTAACAAATGCAGCAAAAGGGGAAATGGAACTCAGTCTGACCACCTGGTTGTGCAGGTGACCTTGTAGGCTGCTCTCTAAGTATTTGGTGCCAATGGTGCTGCCTCCCTTTGTCAGAGAACATCAGTCAGGAGCAGCTCTAATCACATGTATCCCTACCGTGTGTTACTGTGTGTTTGCTAAGGACCAGCAGGTTTCCTGAGGGGGTGGGTAAGATTGCTGCTCTTGGAGACCCAGACAGTACTTTAGACTGCTCAAATCAAGTTGCCTGTTTACCACCGTGTTGTTCTTTCCAGTATAGACACTTGATTATGTTGGGGGGGTAGGGGTGTTGTATGCATGTTGTGCTTAAGGACACACTCTGCCAAATGCTTGGGAAAGAGTAGGCTCAGCCTGACATGGGCTGTAGTCCCAGCACTTGGCAAGTAGAGGCAGGAAGAACAGGAGTTGAGGCTAGCCTGGGAAAAATAAAACCTGCCCAAGGGGATGTAGTAACACTTTTAATCCCAGTTCTTAGGAGGCAGAGGCTGGCAAATCTCCTGGTCTACAAAGTGAGGACAGCAAGGGCTACACAGAGAAACCCTGTCTCAAAAAAAGCACAACAATTATATGTATATGTGTATATACACACATATACATGTATATAATCAGATTTGATTTTTCTGGACCTTCTTGAATTCAGCGGCTTCTTGGATTTCTCACTACCTAAAACAAATGACACCTGTTTAGACATCTCTTATGGAGCCTATTTAGGCCTCAAGGTGAAAATTTTCTTCCACAGCTCTGAGTGGCAGACCTGCAGAAGAACAGAAGATGAAGCCAGAAGTCCTGCCTGTCTTACCAGCCATTCAAAAGGAAATTACTAAATCAGAAGGGTTTTCAGACATAGTCTCTCAGGTATTTCCAGTGAAGTGGGAATTGTCACTCCACTATGTGGAGTTGTCACTGGGGTCTGTTTTGGAGCATTGCAAGTTGGCCAATAACTGCCTCAAAGAGGCTGAAGTTTTTCTTTTACCTGTCACTTCAACCTCACACTTGCTTCATTCTTTTTGAACACTACCATGGTCTAGCTCCTGTGTTAGGTGCTGGCTGCCCACTTATGAGGAAAGAGACTTCACTTTGGAGGAACCACAGAAACTGAAGGGGCGGTGAGAGGCCAGCAACAAGTAGAATTAGACAGTTGGCACATGACAGAGTGAAGACAGTGTTGAGTGGTGGAGCCACTTCTGTGAAAGTGTTCAAGAAGCCCATGTCTGTCTGGATGGGCAGAGCAAGGCTGAAGGAGATGGAGCCCCACAAGGTGACCTTCCAATGGAGCCAGGCTGGGGAGTAGGAACTGAGACTGTCCCATTGTGGTTCTGGTGGTGCCTAAGGGGTGTGGATGATGCTCAGGAAGATCTGAGGAGGACCAGGTGGAGATGCTTCCCAATGAAGGAAGGTGCTTCACAGTTAGGTTATGGTGTGGGAAAGAGGGAGAATCCCTGTGTGAAGGGGCTGGTGAGAAATGAGCAGGAGCCAGCTTAAAAGCATGGGGCTACTCCATCTGATTGCGGTGTTATTCGTAGTTGGCAGTGTGGGGCCATTGTGGATAGGCTGTATTAGAATCACCTGACAGGGGAGTCCTGTGTAGAGGTAGTGTAGTTTGTCTAGAAAGAGTTTTGTGAACAGCCAGGTCTCATTCTCAGGTACCCACTCTGAGAAGCTTAGGGTTATGGGGAGTATGGCTGATGAATTGGAGCCTAGAGGTAAGTCGAAGAGCCAGTTGCTGAGAGCTGACTTATGATAGAGAAGGTCCAGACTCAGATTTCCTGAGTTGGGGCAGTTGCTCACTGCAGTTGAGTTCCTCTACATCTCTGAAGCCTTTAGCTATCTTTTTTATCCCTTTCTTCTTCTTCCTTCTTCTTCTTTCTTTCTTTTTCTTTTTAATATAGCCAGTGTTAACATAGCCTAGCAGATGTTGCAAGACTTTAACTTCCCCTGTGGGTAGCATCTTGGGCATAGGTGGAGGTTTCATATCCCTGTTGACCGTAGGGTATCATACAAACCAAAAGCCCTTGCTAACAGCCACTCTGGGAAACTACATCCTCAAGACTGGTTTCCGATTGAGAAATGGATGCACATTGGCCTAGGATCCAAGCATGGGATGTTAGTCCTGGTGAATTTGGGCATGCCTTCATTCTAAACAGGGGGTGTTTACTTTTTCTTCTTCAGAAAGCATGTTGTTACTAAGTTGCCAGATACTCAGTAGAAAGTACAAAGCAAGTAGAAGAAACCAGTGCAGGCAAGCCCCGTTGATCAAGCCATAGGGAAGAAAGGGTCGAGTTTGAAAAGGACAGTTAACATGCCATCCCTTTGAACTGTTGATACAGCTTTTGGGTAAAAAACTTGCTTCTAGACAGGGTTTGTGTGCACCTGCTAGTTTCCCCACGGTGATGATACTTTGGTTTTCCGAGTGTGTGTGTGTGTGTGTGTGTGTGTGTGTGTGTGTGTGTGTTTGCCTGTGGCCCATGAAATCTTCCTAACAGAAAGAATGTAGAGATATTGTGTGATAAAACTTTTCCTGTGGAAACACATCTACTCACCCCAGAAAGGGATCCCCCAACAGTTTGGATACCACTGAACTCCAGCTTGGTGGACCAGTGACTTTGGAGCAGAAATGACTCATGACAGCTGCATCACCAAAGCCCACCCCATGGCACAAAGCTCAGAAAACTGGGAACCTGGAGCTCCCAGGCAGCGCAACAGGTTGGAACTTGTCATTTGCAGGTGCCTCAGTTGGCCCTAACCTCTTCCAGCAGGTGGGCTGGTTTCTGCTTTTCTCAGGCAACTGCTCTGTCAGTCTTTGCAGATTGGCTTGTCTGAGTGTCTTCATTGCAGCTCCACCTCTTTCAGAGGGACTCTCAGCTTTAATTGCTTATTCTGGCAGAGAGAGGCCTCCTGCTTAAAAAGCTTGCCTACAGGATGGAATGTTTTAATCAGGTGGAAACTTTCCTGCTCTGGAGTTTCCCTGAAGCAGTTGTATTTGCCAGGTGCAGGAGAAAGTGTTCTGAGTCTCTTTCCAGTGGTTCAGTGTGCTGCTGCCCTCAGCAACTTTATGAACTTGTCAGTTCTCAGCCTCTAGCTTTTCTCTACCTTGTGTTCTACTGTTTATGCTTTAACTGATTTCAGTGTCACAGGTGTTAGTAGGAAAATTGGAATGCTAGGACATATACAATGTGAAGCATGCACAGCCACCCTACTCAGGGCAGATTTTTACATATCTGTTGTACTTTAGTAGTAGATTTAATTGGATAACATTTGAACACAGTTGGGGATAGGTGTCATGTGAGTGAGTTTTTTGAGACAGGGTTTTTTCTCTGTGTATCCCTGCCTATCATGAACTCACTGTAGACCAAACTGGCCTCCAACTCAGAGATTTACCTGCCTCTGGGGCCAGAGTGCTGGGGTTAGGTCTGTATCATGTGCATTTGTTGTTGTTGTTGTTTTTGTTTTATTTTGTTTTGTTTTTCAAGACAGGGTTCCTCCATGTAGCTCTGGCTATCCTGGAACCCACTGTAGACCAGACTGGCCTTTGAACTCACAGAGATCCACCTGACTCTACCTCCAGAGTGCTGAGATTAAAGATGTGTGCCACCACCACCTAGAGTCATGTGTGTTTTTATCCTATTTTGGTTATCTTCTGTCATGTAAGTTCTTATAGCTGGGTCATTCATTGTGTTTATGCGTTACCAAATCATTTATTGAGGATATAAATAAAGCTAAGAGTGAATTTCTTTGCTTGCTGTTGTGGAAGCACAGAATAAGTCTGGGTGTATACCATCCCATTGACAGCACTGGGTGTGAGGGTAGAAGTGGAAACCCAGCCTGTGATTTGTAAGAACCTGAGGCTTTCTACACTTTCTCAGATGGAGTGTGAGTAACCCAGGTTGTCATCCACAGCGTCTTTATCTTTATTGTTCTTATCTCTGGAGGACTGTTTCAATTTTAAACTATTCCATCAAGGACTCTCAACTCTTTATCCAGACCTGTACTAGCTATTTGGTATTTCTCCAGGTTCCTAAGCAGCTCATCTCTCAAACTGCAGAAAATTAAAAAGTGAAACCAATTCCCTGCAAGGCTTGGCCTACTGCCCTCTTTGGGTATGGTACACACTTGAGGAACAGAATCTTACACATGTAAGGAAGCCCTGGCCATGACAGGTGATGTATTTTTGCATATGACTCTTATTTTGGTTTAGAAGCGGCAAAAGCATTTCCGGCGAGGTCCTCCCCACCTGCAGATCAGACCCCCCAACACAGTCTCCAAGGATGGGATGCAGGATGATGCTAAGGAGAGGGAAACCGCCCTGGGGAAGGCTCCACAGGAAGAAGACACACAGAAAGCCATCATCAGGTACCAACCGACGACAGCAGTAAGCACAGTCTGATGCCAGCTTGTCTGGTTTTGTTTTATTTTGCTTTAATGAAAACTCACTTTTTCATACTTCTTATTTAAAGCAACAGTATTCTAAGGATGGCTTCAATAAGTTTTACTATACAGTCACATTTCAGAGCCACATTTGGTCCATGGCCTGTTCTTGTGTACAGTTGTATCTGAGAGCAAGGCAATTTTAAGGGATGTGAGAGTAGAGGGTCAAAGAGGAATAGAGGTAAGGAGGAAAGTGAGAGTTGGTCTCTTTCTGTGACAGGGGCCTCTTTCTGTGACAGGCAGTTGTGGGAGTGACAACTGGTTGATAGGCACCGCCTATTCTAGACACTTCTGGTTTGGCAGTAAGCACAATGAGAAGGCAAGGCTTGTTCCTCTGGACTGAGCCCAACAAATTTCTTGCTTGCAGTACCCACAGACACCTCAGTCTAGATGCCTTTTGGCTTCATTTCCTACTCAGTGTCACATTGAAAACATTGGGTGCAGCTCTGCCAGGAGGGATGGCCTAAGCTCTAAGCCTGCACAGCTGTTCTGAGGATGTGGAACCTGAAGTCTTAGAGTCATGAGCACATAAGGAGATGGTGTGGAAGTAAGCAGTGTAGACAAGTTCCAGGGAGAACAGTGGCCTGGAGAAACTCTTGATCATGTTTGTAGGAGAAAACGGTGTGCTTCCAAAGCCAGTGTCTGATGCAGCTTATAATGTGCTCTTAAAAACAGAAGCTCTCTTCAGGGAATCTTATGAAAGAACAGGGAGATAGACCTGGAGGGAACAGGAGCTCCACAAAGAGAGCAACAGAACCAAGAATTCTGGCACAAGGGTCTTTTCTGAGACATACTCCAACCAAGGACCATGCATGGAGATAACCTAGAACCCCTGCTCAAATGTAGCCCATGGCAGCTCAGTCTCCAAGCGGGTACCCTAATAAGGGGAACAGGAACTGTCTCTGATATGAACTCAGTGCCTGGCTCTTTAATCACCTCCCCCTGAGGGGGAAGCAGCCTTACCAGGCCACAGAGGAAGGCAATGCAGCCGGTCCTGATAGGCTAGGATCAGATGGAGGGGGGAGGAGATGAGGGAGAGAGGGTGGGATTGTGAGGGAATAAGGAAGGGGGCTACAGCTTGGATACAAAGTGAATAAGCTGTATTAAAGAGGAAAAAGCTCTCTGAATGGAGAGGGGCAGTAGCTGAGCCTTGGCCCAGTTTTGCTCACTCAGGGTATTAAAGCAATTCTTTGTGTTCTTGCTTCAGCCACATATGTGTGCTAAAGTTGGAATGACAGAAGAGTAGCCTGGCCCCTGTGTAAGGATGACATACAGCTCTGAGAAACACTATATTGCAGAAAATAAAGAGAAAAGCCAGACATGGTAGTACACACCTTTAATTCCAGTATACGAGGTAGAGGCTGGTAGATATCTGTGAGTCTGAGGCCATCCTGATTTACATAGCAAGCTCCAGGCCAGCCAAGGATACTAAAAAGAAAAAAAAAAGGGGGGGGGGTGGTTGTTGCTGAAGAGATAGATTTGAGGTTAAGAACACTTGTTCTTGCAAAGGACATAGGTTCAGTTCTCAGCACCCACATAGTAGCTCACACAGTCATAATTGTAGTTCTAGGGGATCTGACTTCCTCCAGTTTCTGAGGGCACCAGGCACACATGTAGTACAAATATATACATGCAGGCTGGGCAGTGGTGTCATATGCCTTTGATCCCAACACTCAGGAGGCAGAGGCAGGCAGAACTCTGTGAGTTCCAGGATAGCCAGGGCTACACAGAGAAACTATCTCAAAAAACTGAAAAAGAAAAAAAAAAAACTTAAAGAAAGACAGAATACACTATAGAGCCAGTTGGTGGTGGTATGCCTTTGATCCCAGCACTCACGAGGCAGAGGCAGGCAGATCTCTGTGAGTTTGAAGCCAGCCTGATCTACAGAGCAAGTCCTAGGACAGCCAGGTCAGTTACACAAGAAACCCTGTCTTGAAAAACCAAAAAAAGGGGCTAGAGTGATGGTTCAGGTTAAGAGCACTAGCTGTTCTTCCAAAGGTCCTGAGTTAAATTCCCAGCAACCACATGGTACTCACAACCATTTATAGTGAGATCTGGTGCCTTCTTCTGGCTTGCAGGCACATATATAGGCAGGATATTGTATAAATGGTAAATAAATAAATCTTAAAAGAAAAAAAGGAAGAAGAAGAACAACAACGAAAAGGAAAGCTTTGGGTCTACACTTAATCAGATGTCATGTGGCAGCCATAGATAGACTCCCCAGATGTCAAATCTATGAGTAGAGATAGTGCCAGTCTAGGCAGCTACCCTGACTCCTGTGCTGATTTTACTTCACTTTGGATTTATGCAGTAAATTGTAGTTACCACCTTAAGAGCTTCAGCCTCTGGCCACTGCATCCCTCCACAGGGCTGCTCCTTGAGTTTCCTACAGATCTCAGGAACTCCTCTTGTTTAGGCTCTCCCTTAGAGCAGCTCTGGGATTGTCTGCTCCACATCCAAGTGGCTGTACCTGGGAAGAGTTCCATGTTCCAAGTAGTCTGGTTTGTGTCAGGATTCGTTGGTTGTTTCCTGTCACTCTGTGTTGTGGCTCCTACAGGGGTGAGTTCATCTGGGAGCAGGCCTTGTCCTAAGCAGTATGCGGGATTTGGAGGGTATAAACAGCAACCAGTTGATGCTTTCCCCTCTCTCCAAGCTGGCGGGGAGCAGTGATTGAGCCTGAACAGGCCACTGAACTCCCTTCAAAAAGAGCTGAAGCCTCCACATCTCTTCTGGCATTCAGGATGTGGAAAGAGCCAGGTGAGTTTTTCCACTTCTTTGCCTCATGAGAGCCTGTGCCCAAGAGCCTGGGGGTTGACACTCTACATCCAGGTCATAGCCTCTGCCTGCTGTCTGTGCAGCTCATCCTTTAGCATCCATGTTCTGGCCACATTCTTCTTGCAACCCTTATGACTGTCTGTGGCTTCTTAGTTGCCCTGGCTTTTTGCGTGAGCATTGAGCAGCCAATGCTGTGTTTGAGAAGTTTGATTTTGCCATTCTGCTCCTGGGCCAGGTTGTGCCTTAGCATAAGAAAATACACAAGATTAAAATCATACATTTTAATACTAAAGATTCAATAAAATAATTTTTTTATTGTTTTAGTTTTTCAATTTTTTTTTTTTTTTTTTTTCTTTTTGAGACAGGGTTTCTGTCTGTAGCCTTGGCTGTCCTGGAAGTCAATCTGTTGACCAGGCTAGCCTTGAACTCAGAGATCTGCCTGCTTCTGTCTCTTAAGTGCTGAGTGTGCTACCACCACCTGGCATCATAAAAATAAATGCCTTGTTAAAGAAAGAAGAGACACAAGTGTCCCTTGATGTGTCAACTTCTATACTAGTCTGTGGGTCACTGGAACTATAGCATTATTTATTGAGATCTTCTTGGTTTTGGCCTTGTGCTAAGAGCTCTGTGTGTACCAGCCTATTTCCATTCTCATAGTATGCCTGGCCTGTTTCTGTTATTATACCCTTTGAGATAAGAGATGTCTGCATAGTTCCATTGTACATACAGGAACTGAGGCTCTGGCTAGTCATGCTAGGGCCCACTCACAGGAATGGTGCCCTCTTGATTCCAGCACCAGCTTGTTGGGGCACATGGAGATCACTGTGTTAGGAATGGTGGGGCCAGGCCATGTCATCAGCAGAAACCTTAGAACTTAGTGGGAAAAGGCATGTGTGACAGTGCACAGACTGTTCTATGCTGCCTAGTTTGGAAGAAGAAAGCTCCCTGTGGAGGTGAGGTACTCTTAAGGAGACCATAGATGCTGGTGTATTTGCACATGCTCTTGTCCCCTGGGACTCTGTAAGTTCATTTGCTTGGATAATATTTGTAAACCAAGGATGTGTAAGCTGCAGTCTGCTCAACCACTGATTCCTACTTATTTCCAAGTTCACATTACACACTCTGGTGGGCAGACACTGTGTTCACTATCTGCTTTAGAGGGATTTACTCTGTAATGTTGAGTTGGACCATAGGAATGGTACCCTATTTCCCTTGAACAGAGAGGGACCTGAGGTCCTAGTGCTATTGAGTGTGGCCTTCAGACAACATGATTACTGGTCACTGTATGCCACTGAGGGCCTGACTGTTGTGCTTTGGCCTCTGCCTTATCTGCTTCATTGTAACTCACCCTGCCCTTTTTATACTCTCATGGTTCTGGCCAGTGCCCGTCTCAGTGCGTTAACTGAAGAGTCACAGTGGGTCTTTGGAAGCCCCAAGAGTGGGGCTATATGCTATCCTTGTGCTTTCTCCTTTCTAGCTCCCCCGAATGAGCGCCAGAAGGGGGTGATTGAGGCCTTTCTCCATGCTTGGAAGGGTTACCGAAAGTTTGCTTGGGGCCATGATGAATTGAAGCCTGTGTCCAAAACCTTCAGTGAGTGGTTTGGCCTGGGCCTTACCCTGATCGATGCCTTGGATACCATGTGGATTTTGGGTCTGAAGCAAGGTAATGCTTCCATTTTGGGTTGGACTGAGTTCCATGTGTGATGTGACACATAAGCCAAAGCAGAGTGTGAGGGCTCCCTCCATGTGGGCCATGCATGCGTGATGTGTATGACATCCATGTGAAGACAGACAAGCTAAAGCAGAGTGTGAGGGCTCCCTCCATGTGGGCCATGCATGCTACTCCATTGGACTTTGGTTTTTTGTCCTGGATATAGGAAAATGTGTACTTGCTGTGTGTGGTCGGGGTCTGTTTTAATCCAGCTGCTCACTCAGGGCAGCTGTCTCTTACCTACTAAAAAGCTGTTTGTGTCCTTGGATTTTCATCCAGTCTCTGATGACACTAGGATACACTAGGGACTACACTTGCCTTGGCTCTGTATCTCCACGATGTCCTCCTTAGGTTATGCAGATCCCACTTAATTTGGTAGTATGGGTCCTTAAAATTTCTAAACTGATAATTATTTTTATTTTAATTCATTTAAAAGACTTATTTTTTTATTTGTATTTTATGTGCATTAGTATGAAGGTATCAGATCCCATGGAATTGGTATTACAGACAGTTGTGAGTTGCCATGAAGGTGCTGGGAATTGAACCCAGGTCCTTTGGAAGAGCAGACAGCGCTCTTCACCACTGAGCCATCTCTCCAGCCCCAGAATTAGTGATTTTACATGTGTAGGCATGTGTGCCTGTATGTAGGTATGTGCATATGAGTACAGGTGCCCTTGTAAAGCCAGAGACATCCTCTAGAGCTGGAGCTACACATAGTTACGAGTCTCCTCACGCTACTGAGAGCCGTCCTACAAGAGCAAGTACTCCTCACTGCCAAACTGTCACTCCAGCGCCTTTGCTTAACTGCTTGATGGTTGTTGTTGCTCCATGTGCAATAGCACCTGCTGGGGATGGTGCTAACTAGGGCCGATTCATGGTGCGAACCTTTCTCTGCAGAAGGCATTTTGTTTGGGGTTTCTTGTTAAATTTATTTCTTTTGTGTGTGGGCGCTTGTATGTATTATGGCACACTTGTAGGGGTTGGAGGCCAAATTGTGGAAGTTACTTTTCACCTTCCACAATGTGGGTTCCAGGGATTGATCCTAGGTTGTCAGACTTGGTGGTAAGAACCTTTATCTACTGACCACTTACCCTGTTTGTTTTTTAAAGGCAGGTCTCAGCCTAGACTGACCTTGAACTCACTGTATCTTCCTTGGGATGCTACACAATGCCTGGCTTTGTTTTTTGTTGTTGTTTGTTTTGGTTTTGGTTTTAAAAGACAATGTCTTGGGGATAGAGAGGAAGCTCAAAGTTTAAGAGCACTGGTTGCACTTCTGAAAGACCAGGTTCTGTTTCCAGCACCCACTGGCAGCTCACAACACTCTGTAGCCTCAGCTGCAGAGAATCTGATGCGTACACACAGTACACAAACACTCATACAGGCAACATATCCATACCCATAAAATAAAAATAAAGTCTCAAACTGGATGCAGTGGTGCACGCCTGTGATCCCAGCACTTGGGGAGACAGATGCAAGGGTCTCTTTCTGAGTTCAAGGCCAGGTTGGTCTACAAAGCTAGTCCAAGACAGCCAGAGCTACACAGTGAAACCCTGTCTCAACAAAAGAAGTCTCAAAATACAATTTTAAAAGATTTATTTTATGTATATGAGTGCTCTCTCTGTATGCACACCTGCATGCCAGAAAAAGGCATCAGATCTCAGTAAAGGTGATTGTGAGCCGCCATATGGTTGCCAGGAATTAAACTCAGGACCTCTGGAAGAGCAGACAGTGCTCTTAACTGCTGAGCTATCTCTCCAGCCACTCAAAATATATTTTAAAGCAGTATCCTGGGGAACTGAAGAGTTGGCTTAATGGTTAAAACACTCGTTTTGGGGCTGGCTAGAGCTATGGCTCAGAGGTTAAGGGCACTAGCTGCTCTTCCAGAGGTCCTGAATTCAATTCCCAGCAACCACACGGTGGCTCACATCTATAATAAGATCTGGTGCCCTCTTCTGGTGTGCAGATGTATATGCAGACAGAATATTGTATACAAATAACTAAATCTTTATAAATACATACATACATATATACATACATACATACATACATACTAGTTGCTCTTCCAGAGGATCCAGGTTTGATTCCCACTACCTATGGTGGTTACAGAACTCCTTCCAGGGGGAATCTGATGCCTCTGTAGCATTACACATACCTGGTGCACAGGTAAGTATAGGCACACAAAACACCCACGTATATAAAAATAAATAAAATAAAAAACAGGGTCTTAGTATATAGCTTTGGCTAACCCAAAAGGTACTGTGTAGCCCTTGGCTTTGAACTTTTAGCAATGCTCCTGCCTCAGCCTCCCAAGTGCTAAGATTACAGGCCTGTGCCACCAACACTGTTCCATCGTAGAATGACAGATATGTAAATTTGTTCCTTTGCTTTCATTCTTTTGTTACACAGAATTTAAGGAAGCCAGGAACTGGGTGTCACAGAAGTTAGACTTTAAGAAAAATGTCGATGTCAACCTTTTTGAGAGTACCATCCGCATCTTAGGGGGCTTGTTGAGTACCTACCACCTATCGGGGGACAGCCTCTTCCTGAGAAAAGCTGTGAGTGTTCTTGGCTGAGGTTTCCTGTGGCTTGGTGTGTGGAATTTTTTCTAGTTTCCTCTTGCAGTGCATTTGAGTTTCTTCCTCATTGGTGTGTATGAGCTGCCGCAATACTGTTCTTTGTTGCTGTAGTGTATAGGAAAGTCCTCTGGTGCTGTAGCCTAGGTTTTTTGTGTAATGGGTATTAGAGAGCCACCAGACTATGTTTCTCCACTTGTTTGGGTGCAGATGGGTGACAGGTGAGAAAAAAAAAACATCTTAACTTGAATCTTTGTTGTGCTTTTATGCTAGGAAGATTTTGGAAACCGACTAATGCCGGCCTTCACCACACCCTCCAAGATTCCGTACTCTGATGTGAACATTGGCACTGGATTTGCCCACTCACCCCAGTGGACTTCAGACAGCACAGTGGCAGAAGTGACAAGCATTCAGTTGGAATTCCGGGAGCTCTCTCGTCTTACCGGAATTAAGAAATTCAAGGTAGGGCTAGAGAGGTGGCTCAGTGGTTAAGAGCACTTGCTGCTCTTGCAAGAGGATGCAGATTCAGTACAGAAAAACTGTTTGATGGCTCACAACCCTCTGTTTTGTGCTTTTGTTTGTTTGTTTGATTGATTTGAGGCAGAGATTCACTGTATCACCCTGGTTCACCCAAATGCCATTATATAGACCAGGCTAGTCTGGAACTCATAAAAATCCACCTATTGCTAAAATACTGGGATTACAGGTATGAATCACCACATTCAGTCCCCTTAAAACTCTTTATAACTCCAATTCCTTGGGGCCTGGGACCTTCTTCTGGCTTCCATGTGCACTAAGCATGCATGTGGTACAAAAACTCATACACATAAAATAAAAATAAAATCTCATTGGGGCAAAAAGAAAAAAAAAAATTCCGGTAGAACAGGGAGGTTCTAGCTAGACAGTTTCCCTGGGTCTAAGTGCTTCTCATGAGTGTAACTACTGTGGAGTTTTTTTACTGTGCAAATTTCATTTTTTGTTTTACTATTTAAAATATTAAATGATTTGTGCGTGTGTGGAGGTGAGAGGACAACTGAGGTGGACTCTGCTCTCTTTCTGTCTTTATACACATGGGTTCCAAGGATCAAGCTCAGGTCTCCAGGTTGCATGGCAAATGCTGTTACCTGCTGGGCTGCCTGATCTTCAATATGTCTGTTATATAAAACCATCTATTAATAGCCTTCCTCATCTTGTGGAATGGAGACATCTGCCAATTAAGAACTCTGTGCTTCCGTTCCCCAGCCTCTGACAGCTGCAATCTACTGTCTCTCTGTAAAGGGGTATGTACAAGGGACTCGTGTGGGTAGAATCCACATGAGCTGTGTTCTAGTGGCTTTTCCAGCTCAGCTTCCTTTGTGTGGCTGCAGTTGTTGGGGTTTCTCTCTCTCCCATATATGGACTTCACTATGGTTGTGATGCTGTGCTGCAGATGCTCACATTCAGGTTGCTGCTCAGTCTTAGCTCTCAGAGTGATGCTGCTGTGCTATCTGAGATGCACTTTGAATTCCCTGGACTTCATCACTTGAACTGGAATTGCTTGATCATATTCTATGTTTACTATTTCAGAGAACCAGCATAACACTTTCCACTGCGACTGCACCATCTTACTTTCCCGTCAGTAATAACAAGACTCACACTTTCTCCATATCCTCAACAACACATTTTTCTTTGAACAGATTCTCTAAGGTGATTGGTGTGAGGCAGCATCTCATTGTGATTTGACCTGTATTTCCCTAGTGCTCCTGACAATGAGCATCTTTTCATGTGCTTATATTATTGCCCTGGAAAAATGTCTATCTGAGTTCTTTTGACCATCACCTCTTTCTGTTGGGTTTTAGGGATTAAACTCAGGGCCCTATACACCCTTACCAAATGCTCCACTATTGAAGCTGCACTGTGCATTACCTCTTAGCCCACTTTCTAAATGGATTAGGATTATTTATTTGGTTTTGTTTGGGTAGGGACTTTGAATCTTCCAACTTTATTCTCTTCTTTCTTTTTTCATTCTCTCACACAATACATCCTGACCGTAGTTTCCCTCCTTCTAGTCTTCCCCATCCCATGGCCTCTCCCCACCTTTTCTCGCCTCCAGATCCACAGCTCCTCCATTACCCTTCAGAAAAGAGCAGGCCTCCCAGGGATATCTACCCAACACAGCATACCAATATATAATAAGACTAGGCACAAACCCTCATATCAGGATGAGGCAGCCTAGTAGGAAGAGAATGGTCTCAAGAGTAGGTGGAAGAGTCAGACATACCGCCACTCTCACTGATAGGAGCCCCACAAAAACACCAAACTAACAACCATAACATATATGCAGAGGACCTAGCATGGACCATGCAGGCTGTGATTGCTGCTTCACTCTCTGTGAGACCCCATGAGCCCTGCTTAGCTGATTCTGTGAGCCACATTCTGGTATCCTCAACCCCTCTGGCTCCTACAGTTCTTCCTCCCCCTTTTCCAGTGTGTTCCATAAGCTCCAAGGGGAGGGACCTGGTAGGGATCTCCAGTCTGGACTCTCTTTCCACCCAATGTCTGGCTGTGGGTCTCTGCATCTGCTCCCATCAGCTGCTGGAGGAAGCCTCTCTGATGACATTTGCACTCTGCAGTGATCTGGTGATTTGAAATTTTTTGAGAATTGTATGTTAGGGTGGGCTTTTTTGTGTTGCAGAAAGATACTGGGATTGTAAGAGGGATTGCATTGACTTTGTAGATTACTTTGGAGAGGAGGAACATCTCAACAGTCAAGTCTTCCAATCTGTAAACATAAGAGCTTTTATTTATTTATAGCAGTCTTTTGTTTGCTTGTTTTGTTTTGCTTTTGAGATAGGGTTTCTCTGTGCAACCCTGGATGTCCTGGAACTTTCATTGTAGACAAAGCTGGCCTCAAACTCAGATATCTGCCTGCCTTTGCCTTTGAGTGTTGGGTGCTTGTACCACCACCTCCCACTTATATCAGTTTTAGTACCTTTCTTCAGTGGTGTTTTGTTTTGAGACAGGATCTCACTGTATAAACCAGGCTGGTCTTGAAGTCACAGAGATCTGCCTCCCTCCACATTTGCTCCCCTACCCCCTTAGTGCTGGGATTGAGGATCATCACACCTAGCCCTTTCTGCAAACTTGCACCTCTGTAATTGATTTCTAAATATTCCATTTTATTCTTTATGAAATATTTATAATTTTCTCATAGCTTTTGTTATATTGAGATGGTCCCCTTTTGTTTTATTTAGTTTTTTTGTAGTATCAAGGATTACCAAATCTGAGGCCCTATGCATGCTCAAACCCTTTTTATTTCTCATTGGTTACATATGTTGTTAAATATTTTTATCAGGAAATGGAAGAATTGTTTTTTTCTAATGGTTTTGGGGTTTTTGCTTGTTTGTTTGTTTGTTTGTTTAGATAGGGTCTCAGTCTGTACCCCAGGCTAGTCTTGAACTTGATGCATTTCTCCTTAGTTACAGGCCTGTGCTATCATTCATTGGTCTGATGTTGTTTGATCATCCTGCTGTTATTTGTGACAGTTAATGATTTTCATGTGCATTTTGAGTCATGAGGCATGACAGGTTAATATGTTGCTAAATTGCCTTACTATCATATTGTGGGAGGACCTCTGCACCCACTTCGGTAAAGAAACCAGTTTAGTTTTATTCCTGCTGGTGCTTTCGTGTGGCTTTGGTGCTAGGATATTTCTGGCTTCATGGGATAGGAAGTGTTCCCCCTTCCATCTCCTGAAGTTTGAGAAGAATCGACTGGAGTAAGCCCACTTTACCCTTCTCTGCCACAGGAGGCCGTGGAGGAAGTGACAAAGCACATCCACTCCCTGTCTGGGAAGAAAGACGGGCTGGTGCCCATGTTCATCAACACCAACAGCGGCCTCTTCACCCACCCGGGAGTGTTCACCTTGGGTGCCAGGGCCGACAGCTACTACGAGTACCTGCTGAAGCAGTGGATCCAGGGTGGCAAGAAGGAGACACAGTGAGGCCTGACCACTGCCTGATGCAGGCCCCAAGCTTCTGTCCCCATCCTTTGCTAGGCAGAGTCAATAGTGCAGCAGGGGGCTAGGCTCCTCTACATGAACTTATTTCCCAAATACCATGGGCCATTCGGCAAGGCCTGCCTTATGTCAGTGTTCATGTTGGCAGGTGCTCAAGGGCCTGAGCCGTGACTGGGACTGTGTGCAATATGTGCTCCCTGGGCAGGGCCAGATCTATAGGTCTCATGTGTGGGTCAAGTTTAGCAAAGCTCCTGGTCCTGTAGCTCTGAGAAAGACAGTACCATGAGCATGCTCAGAGCAAGTTGACTTGTGCTATTTACAGGTGTCTGGAAGACTATGTTAAAGCTATCGAGGGCATAAAAGCACACCTGGTACAGCATTCTCAGCCCGGAAAGCTCACTTTTGTGGGAGAACTTGCCCATGGCCGCTTCAATGCCAAGATGGTAAGTTGTGTGGACTGGCAGAGCCTTCAGGAAGCTGCCGCTTTGTTTGTGACTTCTAAGGCTTCTGTTTGCCGAAAGTAACGAGGAAATCTGGTCATCAGCTATGTGCCATGGCCACAGGCTGACCTTTGCTGCCTGGTTGGAGCTATTCTCATGAATATTCCCAAACAGAGGTCCCACATACCCTGCAGTAGCAGGAATGGCCTCTCCCATGACCAGCTGCCTTCCTTGTGGTTCTCTCTGTGGTTCATGAAGTGCAGCAGATATCTGAAGGTATTTGTGGGGAGGTGGAAGGAATCCAGAGAGCCTGGGTCAGTATGACCCCCTGTAAGAGCCTACCCTCTACTTCCCCCTGGATTTTAGGACACAGAGTGCATTGCCTGGACCCAAGTCAGCACATGACAAGTGTTGCTGAGCCTCGCTGCCCCTGGGCTTCTCCCCAACAGTTTGGCCAAGTGCACTTGGTACTGGCCACGCAGCACAGGCCTTAGCCCAGATATGAGGAGACACTTTGATTCCAGGACCACTTGGTGTGCTTCCTGCCAGGGACACTGGCCCTGGGCGTCCACCATGGCCTGCCAGCTGACCACATGGACCTGGCTCAGGCACTCATGGAGACGTGCTACCAGATGAACCGACAAATGGAGACAGGTCTGAGCCCCGAGATTGCACATTTCAACCTGTATCCTCGGGCAGATCATAAGGATGTGGAGGTCAAGGTGAGCCTGGGCAGGGGCTGCATGTGGGCAGGGGTAATGCCAGCAAGAGTGGATACTCAAAAAAAAAAAAAAGTGCATACTCCCTGAGTCTCTTGCTCTGCCCCTAGCCAGCTGACAGGCACAACCTGCTGCGGCCAGAGACTGTGGAAAGCCTCTTCTATCTGTACCGTGTCACAAGGGACCGCAAGTACCAGGACTGGGGCTGGGAAATCCTGCAGAGCTTCAATAAGTACACACGGGTGAGCTGGAGGCACCTCTCAGTAGTCTTGGTTGGTGACAGACACAGCCAGGGTCCTGCAAAGCTCTGGCTGTACCCATCCTTGGGATTGTTGTGGCACAGATGGGGAGGAGCCAGCTTCCTGGGGCCTCTAGTTGGCTGCTCCTTAGTTGTGTGACCTTGATAGTATAGTCCTCTTGCTGAGCTTGCTGGTATCAGGGCCCTGTTATCACTAGAGGCTTTCTGATGCCCAGTGTTTCTTGGCTCACTGTCAGGATCCAAGCTTTTCTGAGAAGGGTCTCTTTCTCTTGCTCATGGCTTATGAAAAGTGTTCAGTGACCCAGAACACTGCCCTCACCCTCACCCTCCCCAGCTGGTGTTAATGGCCTGCCTTGCCCTCTCTCTTCCTGGGAATTGGTCAGAAAAGGTTGTAGGGCAAGGTGTGGTCTAGGTAACCCCTACTTTGTCCCAGACCTTAACAGCTTCAGCTTCCTGCCTGTGCCTACCCTAGGTTATGTATAACAAACTAGATCTTGGACATGTCCTGTGGCTGTACCCTTTCGAAGGTAGTTTTTGCCCACTCAGGGGTTGTTAGTATTTTACAGGTTCCTCTGTGGAACTGTAGTTGATCTTGGCCATTACTTAGGTGGTTGCTAGGCCTGAGCCTAATCTGGGGCCATATATGTGGGATTGAGCAAGTAGCCTGAGTGATACCTCTGGTTGGTGGCTCTTCTTGAGGCTTGGCTCTTTATATTGGGCCAAAGCTATGCTCAACCTGTGTTATTGAGGCTTTGACTCCTTTGCAGGTCCCCTCAGGTGGCTACTCATCTATCAACAATGTCCAGAATTCCCAGAAGCCTGAGCCCAGGGACAAGATGGAGAGCTTCTTTGTGGGAGAAACGCTGAAGTACCTCTACCTGCTGTTTTCTGATGATCTGGAGCTGTTTAGCCTGGACACCTGTGTGTTCAACACAGAAGCCCATCCCCTACCCATCTGGGCTCCTGCCTAGGAGGATAGCACCTAGCCTGGGGACTGATAGAGGCAAGGTGGTCCTTTGGGTCTGTGACCTTCACAGGGCCCACATAGTTTTGGGCAGCCATCAAGTGTGATGCCCCTGTCCAGTTCTAGGTTCCTCTTATCTCAGCTTTTCATAAATATGGTAGGAGGAACAGGAGTCCAAACAGGTATGGGAATCTGGGATTTAGACTGACTAGTCTACCAGAAGCCTTTGACTTCCTTGTAAACTCATGTGACTCCTGGTTCCTATGCCTGAAGGACCCTGTTGGCTGGCTGCAGGCAGCCCCATGGTAGTCCCCAAGACTTATCACCTCCTGGGACCCAGTGCCTGTATGGAGTTCAGAGTGACAGCCCAAGTCAGTGAGGTGCTGGGCTTGGCCTGAAAGCCTGTGAAAGCCTGACTGACCCACAGGTCTGGTGGGCCAGTGTGACCTCGAGGGGCCTTGTGGCTCTAGTGTTTACGGGTTGGACTCAGGGATCCTCCTGGCTACCCTACTGGGCTGGCAGGGGTTAGAGCAGCAAATTTGTCTTACTCCCAGGATACCCTGGTATAATGTGACTTCTAAGTTGAGATGAAAGTGGACTTGGCCCACTGTAATGAGCCCTGTGTCAGGGAAGGAGTGGGATTTGTAGACTGACCTTAAGGAGATAGCAAGTCCTCTAGGTAACATCTCAGTAACTGCCCCTAAAGTCACAAATTTTATCCACTTCAGGTAGGAAGAGCTGGGAAGGGCAGGCTTTGGAGATGTCCTGCAAACAGACCAGAAGGCTTGTTTGTGCTGTCTTAGAATGGTCTGTGAAGGTCACCTCCTGACTGATGGATGGAGTAACGCCAGGAGCATCATGTTCCTTTCTTGTAGTGAGATGTTTGTGCCTTCGTGTCTGAGCCAATGGACGTGAGGGTAGAGTAGGCCTTATCTTTGACTGTCTCTGACCATTGGATTGGATTCTCCTATCTCAAGACCAGGCCAATCCCATGTAGAACTGTGTAGGGTAAACTGGACAGAACCTAAGACACCTCAAGGTTCTGGGCCTGTGTTCTTGTGCACCCCAAGATCTAGAGGTTTGACATGCTCACTCCCCATCTGTAGCTCAGAGCATCTCAGTGGCAGCCACCCTGTGCCTGAGGCACAGTAGTTGCTCCAGGGACTTCCTGTCAAAATACTTGTACCCCAAGCCAGCTCTAACCCCAAAGGTGTCTACAAAGAAGGACCTGCCTGGTGACATGTCCTGAGGCCTCAAATTCATGTGTAGAGGTGGCCTACCCACATCTGTCTCCCAGCGCTGCCTTCCTGCACCAGGAGCCCCATAGCTTTGTGAACAGGCAGGTTCAGGCTGTGGACAAGGCCTAAGCAGTTGAGAAGTGTGTGTCCTCCAACTCCCAGATGTCTTCTTGAGGATGTGGTTAGTGTCAAGGGGATAGCAACTGCCCTGTGGCCTTCTGAAGAGGACTAGAACAACTGGACACAAGATGTGCACAAAACTGGGAGCCACACTGAAGCAGCCATGGGAATGGTCTGGGGAGGGGAGGCTGGTCCTCAGTAAAGGCAGATTTCCCTCTCTCACCCAGGAGCACGAAACCTGAGAGCTGGAGTCTCTGCTTAATAAATGTCTAGTGTCCCAGCAGGCTGTGTGCAGTACGTTGTCTTTCCTAGAGCGTAGCTCCAAGTGTCTCATCCCTCCACACATGTACAAGGACACATCTGGCCCAACCACATGTTTATTCAGTTTCTTCCATCTACCAGCAGCCCCCTGCGTAAAGTCTACCCTGGGCAAGCCACTGTGGATCTGGACAGTCCTTCAGATGTGAGGCAAGTTGTCATGCCATAATTGCTCACACAGAACAAGGGAATGGATCCTGTTAGGTCTTAGCTGGAAGAGTGCTGTTTTGGCCTGGCTGCCTCTACCCATTCTCGAATGAGGGTAGCCTCCAGCTTCCGCACACCCACAACAGATGGGGGGTCTTTTGAGTTAGATGCTCTAAGGAACAGACAGGTGTGGGGGAGGGGGGACACTCAGGTGGCAGGCTTTATGCCTGTATAGCCCACATCCCACCACTGGCCCAGATTCATCAAGGGAACCAGGTGGGCTGCACCTCACTGCACCTGAGGTCTAGGTGATGTGCTCCCCCCTGAATGGTGACAGCAATGACTGATGTACTCAGGTTGCTCTGGATCTGTTGGAAGAATCTGGGGCATGTAGCCTGTGCTTTAAGTTACATGTAGTCAACCCCTCTCCCACCCTGGCACCCGAACATATATGCCAGCACTGTCTGTGGGATGCACCTGAAGCACAGTTCCATTGAAAAGAAAAGGTGAAATGTGTTAGACGACATTAAGTGATAAGGGAAAGAAGCACCCAAAAGAGAAAAGGAAATGAGTATTGGGCAAGGATGGCCAAGTAAACCTGAGAGTGAATCTGCACAGGCAAAAGGTTGTTTGAGGAGACTGGCAAAGTGGGGGAACAGCAACAGACACAGTCCAAGCATTACCAAGACAACCTACATGGGGCCAGCTGCTGCCAGGCCTGGACTTACCCCACCCCCTGCCCAGGGGTCTAGGTCACCATTGGAGAAAATGATGTTGCTGGCAGTTTTAAGATCTGAAAGAAACACAGCACGTAGTGGCAAGGTATCCAGTATGGCCTTTAAAGCTGTGAGCGGCATCTGGAGGCTACAGAACCAGCTCAGGACAGAGTGCAGTAGCATCCTTCCTAGCCCCCAGCACCCAATCACTAGCCCAGTTTACCGCCACCCCAGAAGCTGGTCTGCAGCCAGTCTGACCGCGGCCACACGCCCCATGCATCCAGGCAGTATTGCTGGCGGAGTTCATCAGAGAACGGGATTTCAGGGAACATGTCAGTCACGTTGTTGCTGTCAAAAGTCAGATTGATCTCCGTACAGGCCTGCAGATACCCCACAGTGAAGAAAGACAGGCAAGCCACACACCCTACCCCTACACTTGGTAGTTTAACTTCTCTACATCCACAAACCTGATAGTCCCAGGCGTTGGCATCAGAACCAGTGCCACATCCAGTGGGGTCAGCGCAGCTTTTGTACAGGCGGTAGATGTCATAACAGGGCTCCATGCCAGAGGAGTTGTAGACCAGCCCTGGATAGGATTAATGCTGGGACCAGCAGCCAGCCATACATTACATGCTCAAGCCACTGCCCACCCACCTTGGAAGGAAGGAAGGCTAACTTAGGTATTCCTCAGTGAAGAAAGCACTTAGGGTTTGTGTCACCAGTGGCCTGGCTCCTGTGACAGCCTAGAGATACCTATCCTACCCACAGCTCCCTGCCCCACAACAGGGCAGGACAGGCATGCAACTTTGTTGCTCCAGGCAACTGGAATGTGTTCCTTGGGGGTAGCTATGCCGGTTCTTAGGGCTGCTGGGAAGTCATGCTACCCACTTCAGCCTCTCCCCGTTCCTATAACACAAGTTCTGTAGTTTCAAAAGCTGTGTGGGTTCCCTACTACATCTCAAATAGCCAAGTCCCAGGTCAGGGCTACAGATCTTTTCCCTACTCAATCCTATGTCCCTGTCTCCACCCTTGCCCCATGAAGGCCAAGGAGTAGGCCCACCTGCCAGTGCTCGTAGACCCATGATTCTCTGGCCCTCACTCAGCAGCCGTTCACAGCCTACCTAGAGGAGAAGAGCAACAGAGTATCTCAGTGAGGTCCCTTACCCAGCTTGTCCTTCTCTGGACCCAGAATGTGGGTCAGGGCTGCTAGCCTCCATGGATACAACAGCAGAATAGTATCTGATGGCACCAATGCAGGTAGCTACTAGGCTCTTGAACCAGGCCAGTACTGGGTCCTGCACCCAGTGAGAGCCATCTCACCCTGACGGGGTTGGCAGGAAGGTGACCCAGAAAGTCAGTAGGATATGGGTAGTCCATCATGGCGAGCACAGTAAATGCATTCCGGGCAAACCCAAAGAGCTGAGTCAGGTCCTTTGGACTGGAAAGTGGCTGACAGGTACCAAAGTTCTGGCTGATGGTGTCGTAGGCTGAGAAGAGACAGGCCAGGACAAAAGGCTGAGGAAACTGCTGGCAAACGTAAGGGGAAGAATGAATGCCCGAGTGGGCAGCAGGTGAGAAAGAACCTCCTCACCTCCCTGGAGGAACAAATCTCTGATTTGCTGGAAGGCATCCCGCACAGCCTGGGCACACTTGGGACTCTGGCCATAGAAATCCTGGAGAAGAGACCATGGTCACTGCTGCTGCCATACCTGCACTGGCCTGGGGTACCCAAGTACCCTCACTCACTGCTGTGACGTCTCGGAAGAATTGGTAGGAGTTTCCAAGGCCCGCAACAGCTACGACAGGAGCACTGGCTGCTAGTGCCCCAGCCACCAGGTGGGGATACTTCATCCTCATGTAGGCGCTCAGCATTCCCCCATAACTGAGGGCAGAACGTGGGATATGGTTGTGGGCAGCTGGCTGCATGCTCACTCTGTTCTCTAGGTTGAGGTTCCTAGGCTGGACCCATCTCCTCTCCTTGTTCCTTCCCTTCTCAGAAGTCCGAAATGTGGAAAGAAGGATCTGAAACTTTTAGGCCCACACATTCTGTACGTAGGGCCAATGCAGACAGTCTTCATTGGGAAAAGATACCTGCTGGTGCCCTATCCTGGCCCAGCATGAAGACATTGCTGAGACAAAGCCAGATGAGGGATTATCCCACTACTGTGAGCAACATAACAAACACAGCCTATGAGGTCCACTCAAGGAGGACTTTCAGGAGGAAGTAAAGCTAGACCCAGACCTGCTGTGTAAGGAGTTAAGGACTGAGCACACTGGGGCTGGGCAGAAAATGTTGAGAGCATAAGGGACTTTTCTTTGGCCCTCCTTGTATAGGGTGTCACTGGTACAAACGGGCTGAGGGCATCAGAGACAGGTAAGAGTAGCCTTCCTCCAGATCTTTGGGGATAGATTTGGATTAGCATGCTTTGTCTTTAAGGGAAATCAAGGACCTACCTTCCTCCAAAGGCTATGGTGGGGGCATCCTGGGCCCCGAGATCCTGCCGCAGGGCCTGGAGCAGCACAGCAAAGTCTGCCAGTGCCTGCTCCACGGTCAGCAGCTGTGTATATCCCCGCTGTGTGGACTGCACACCAAATGGAAGCGATTTTCCATAGTACCGCTGTAGGAAGCAGGAAGGGATGGCTAGCCGCTGCCTCTGTACCCCCTACCTCCTTCAGCTCAGGGATTGCCACGGGCTGTCCAGGTACGCACGTGCTCAGCAAAGACAAGCAGGGCTCCCTGCTGGGCTGCCAGTTCCACCATGAAGCCAGAGTTGTTAGCGAAGGACCAGATGTCCCCCTCATTCCCTGTGTAGAAGAAAATGGGCCCCTCGCCCATCTTCCAGAACTTATCTATGGGAAGTAAATGGGTTTCTGTAAGGCCAGGGATAAGCAGGCAAGTTACATGCTGTGGAGCCAGCACTTACCTGACACCAGGAACCGTTGGCCAAAGGTTTTGTTGCCGAAACTCTCAAAGTTGAAATGGTCCATGTATTGCTCAAAATAGTTTTCCCGAAAGCCAGGGTCCAGAAATCTGTTGGCTGAGGGCAGGTGCAGAGGCTCAGGGGAGGATTGGGATCATCAGGGATTCAGGAGGGTCAGGAGGGAGGGCAGCCGGTCTACACTCACCTCTGGCCTGGAGGGTGCACAACCCCAGTGCCAGCAGCAGGACCAGGACCCAGGAAGGGACCCCATGGTCCACAGGGACAAGAGATTGGAAGCTCATGCCTGATTCTGAGAAGGGCGCTGGTGGTCACGTGACAAAGGTCATGTGACAGGCGGGGCAGCATCACATGACAGCCTGACGGGGCTGTTCTAAGCTAGCTGGAGGACCAACCTACTCTCCTTGCATCAGCTTCCGGGTCCTTTGACCCAAATCTTAAGGATTCCCTGGGCTCCTGCTGTGTTCCCACGGGGATGATCAGTGTGGAGGAAGACCGACGGCTACCACTGATCAGGACTGTGTGCTCTCTCAATTGTCCAGCTGTTGAGTACCACAGAGTGAAGGGAAGGTACTACCACACAGGCAGGGTGGTGAAGTCCCCAGGGTCTGCAGGCCCCATGTGTTTCACTGCCTGCCTGTTCCATTCAGCCTGTCAGCCAAACTGTGCCCTGGGAATTGAAAGCTGAGCTGGGCACCACTGGCCTGTACTCAGTCAAAGCGGCCACCCTGCCCCCAGCCCTCAGTTTTGGTCAGCACCCTTGCTTCACTGACAGGCCTATAATCACAGAGCCAGGAAATCTGGGACAGTTCTGTCCTGAAAGAGTAGCCTCAGGAAGATAGGGATGTTGGGGATTGCTACAGAGGGACAGTGTCTCTGAGAGCGGACACTGAGCTTATCTGAGGTGTAGCAGGGTTGTCTGAGCTGGTCTGAGCTGCTCTGTTCTGCCTGTTGGCACTTGTGCCCACAGCCCAAACAGAATGGAGGAGACAGAGGGAAGGCTTCTGTTGGAAGCTGCCCTCCACCCCAGTGGCAGGGAGAGTTGAAATGAACCACTTTTCTCTCTGACACCCAGTCCTAGGTCTGGAAGAGGTAAGAGAGCCACTGATGTTGGTGACTTGGACTGGCTCAGCCATGAGCAAAACATGTCTATCCAGCTTGGCCACAGTCCAGTGGGACACACAGCCCTGAGTTGTGTAATGCTGTGCCACAGATTAGGGGAGCCCCAATTCTGCACAACTCCAATGCCTACCTTTTTCTTGTGTATTTTTGGGGTGTCAGTGTTACATTGCCCATTAAGACCTACCTGCGGAATGACGTTAACTATATGGGGTTTGTGCATCTGCTGGCATTCTGTACTTAAATATTGTCAGTGAAGTTTCTCATTCTTCCTGTCCTTGCAGCTCCCTTTGAAGTTCATGCCATGTTACTTTTTTGGTTCCTGCCTGTCGTCTGGTTAAGCAGCCCACTCCCGTATATCCTTTGCAGAAAGGGCATCTCCTATGGCATAACACATGGGTCTTTTGTTCTCATGCATTTCTCTCTTCCTTATTTTTGGGTTTGGCATCTTGGAAAATTTTCACAAGTTATTGTCTGCCCCCTCCACCTCCCATTTTAAAGATGTATTTATTATGTATACAGTGTTCTGCCTGCATGTACACTTGCCGACAGAAGAGGGAACCAGATCTCATTATAGATGGTTGTGAGCCACCACGAGGGTGTTGGGAATTGAACTCAGGACCTTTGGAAGAGCATCCAGTGCTTTTATCCTCTGAGCCATCTCTCCAGCCCGTTTAATTTTGCAATCTTTTAAAATTTTTTACTTACCTGTATTTTACGTGATTTGAGATTTTGCCTGCATGTTTTTCTATGTGAGTGTCAGATCTTGAAGTTAGAGTTGTCAGCTGCCATGTGGGTGCTGGGATTTGAACCTGGGTCCTCTGGAAGAGTGTTAATGCCTTTAACTGCTGAGCCATCTCTCCAGCAATCCCCCCCCCCATTTAATTTTAATTTATAGATGTTTTGGGTTTTTGTTTGTTTGTTTTTGAGACAGGTTCTCACTGTGTGGCTGTCCTGGAACTGTAAACCAGGCTGCTTTTGAACTCCCAGAGATCTACCTGCCTCTGCTTCCTGAGCGCTAGGATTAAAGGCGTGCACCACCACTCCCAGCTTTCTATCTTACTTATTACAGATTTGTTTATATCAAGTTTTTCTATATAGAGCAGGCTGGTCTGAACTTGTAGCACTCCTGTCTTGGCCTTTCAAGTGCTAGAATGCATGTACCACCACACTAGCAAAGTGTATTTCTGTTTTGTTTTGCAGTGCAGGGGCTCAAACAGGCAAGCACTCTACCACTGAGCTATATCCCAACCTGGTAGTTGTAGTTAGTTGGTTTTTTGTTTTTGTTAGTTTTGTTCTTTTTTTTGGGGGGGGGTTGTTTTTTTTTTTTTTTTTTTTTTTTTTTTTTGGGGGGGGGATTGGTGTTTTTTAAAGCAGAGTTTCTCTGTGTTGCCCTAGCTGTCCTGGACTCAATTTATAGACTAAACTGTCCTCAAACTCACAGAGATCTGCCTGCCTTGCCTCCCAAGGGCTGAAATCAAAGGTGCTTGCCACTACCCCCAGCCTTTATAATTAGTTGTCTCTAAATTATCCTTTGTGACATGTGGATGTCTGTGACCTTGATGTTAATTTTTGAGGGACAAAGGGGTCTAATACTTGTTTCCAGTATTGGTGTAACTTCAGGTCTTTTGACATTTATTTTATAATTATTTTGTGCCTATTTGTGTGACTAAGGGGTTTTGCCTTTGTGACCATCATGAGCCTTTGAGTATATCACTGTTTTTCAGTCATGGACTTCCCGACCTTGATGACCTCTGCAGCGAGTCATGCATCTTGTTGTTCAGAATGAGTCCATATTGTACCAGGGTCTCAAGGCTGCCTCTCCTCAGTGGACTGGCCCATCTGTAACTCAAGTGCTATGGACCACACAGACCTCACTTTGGCAAGGGTGTATTCTGTCCTCAGAATAAATTCTAGCAAGTCTATCTCCACTTGTGTATGTCTTCTTTGAGGGTCCATGCATGATCTTTGAAGCCATTGTCACTGCTTTGTATATAGCCTTTGAGGGTAAAAAAAAATTTCTGACCATTTGGATTCCTTCTTTCCTTTTGAGACTTGACTTTATCCCAGGAAGCAATTGCACTAGGTCTCTTGCCAGTTAGTTTTGTTATCTTTGTTTGATTTTCTAGACAGGGTTTCTCTGTGTGGCCTTGGCTGTCCTGGACTGCTTTGTAGAGCAGACTGGCCTTGAAATCAGAGATCCGCTGCCTCTGCCTCCCTGCCTCGGCTGGGATCACAGGCATGCTTCACTTGCCCAGTCAAAGGTACTTCTTAATTTTAAGGAGGCAGCAGAGCCTTTAAGGTAAGCACTCAGGAGGCAAAGGCAGGTGATTCTCTGTGAGTTCCAAACAAGCCTGGTCTAGATAGTGAGTTACAGGCCAGCCAAGAGACTCTGTCTCAAACAAAATACACTTTTTATATGTATATTAAGTATGTTCATATGAAAAGTCAGTCTTCTAGATTCTGCCTAGAACAAAAATGTAGACTCCTCATTCCATGCTCATCAGATGCCATAAATCTGCAATATCATGAAACTTTTGTTTAAGATAGGTGTCTTTAGTAGCCCAGGCTGGCTTCAGACTCTCGGTCCTTTTGCCTCTTCCAAGTGCTGGGATTATAGGCATGCACCACTGCTGCAGCCTGCCATGACTTTCTCTTATTTGTGCATTCATTGGTGGGTAACAGAACTTCCTGAGGTGCAGACAGGATTTTTTTAATGGCTCTCCTCTGACTATGCTCCACTGTGAAGTCCCATGACTTATTTATGGTTTATACATAGTCCAGTGTTTAGCCAAAGCAGCACTAGCATGTTTCCAAATAATTCCACCAGCCTCTGCACTGTAGATACAGGTGTCAGCACTGCCACAAATGCCTTGACTCTGTTACTTTCCACCTGGTCATGACTCCTAAAGTGGAAAGTGTTGGGTCCTGTCTTTCTTCCTAATTATTCACCCCCTCTCTTAAGTTCTAAAGTTTTCTTTTCTGTTGGGATTTTTAAAATGTGCCCTCACACCTGGCTTGCTAGATTGCTTTTCTGATGGTTGGAATTGTTCTGATCTCTACATCAATCAAGTCAGGCTAAGCCAGTAACATAGACCAGCATGTTGTGTCTTTCCATAAACTCAGAGGCTACCTTGATTTCACTGGCACTTTTGATTTTCTGGGTAATCATGACCACTGGTAATCACGGGTCCCTTTATTACATTCCAATCTTAATTCCTACTACCACAATTCTCAGATAACATACTTTGTGTCGTACAATCATATAGATTATAGAATGCCTAAGAAAGTTAAAGAGGCTTCAGGGTTCAGAGCTGAAAGCAAGAGCAAGGAGCAGATGCAGAGAGCAGGCCCACACAGCTCTGATGATTTTCTGGATGGGTTTCTGACAAGTGATGAGTTTGATAGGTACTTGAGATGGACAAAGAGTAGGCTCTTATTGTATGAAATGGGGTTACTCCATGTAAGGCTCAGTATGAGTCTTCTACACAGGGAAAACCAGAACAGGCCCAGCCTGCTTCCTCATAAAAGGAATATGGCTAGACTAGAGCCCTGTGCACCTAAGGCCACTGCTAGGCCCTTCCTGCTAGCTCTGGGGGTAAAAGATGATAACAGGGAGGTTTTACTCAAGGCCCCGGGGATTTGGGATCGAAGCTTAAGTCAAACTACTTAGTTCACTTTACACATGGTTCCAGGTAAATGCTCAAAACTGCAAAGCAGAGCCTATGGCATAGGGGTACTCTACCTACTGTTTGCTCCAGGCCTAACTACATAGTGTTTATTTTTGAGACAGGACCTCACTATGTAGCTCTGGCTGGCTTGGAACTCCCTAGATAGACCAGGCCAGCCTCCGCCTCCCTTACGATAGGACTAAAGGCATGTGCCACCATGGACCACACCCAGTTCCAGCTGCACATTTAAGATGTACAACCTGGCTGTGCATTTCTGGGTACCTGAAGTACTCCCCATATGGCAAGCCTGGTTGGCCTTTGGTTTCTCAGAATTTGAAAACCCTACTGGTCTCAGGTCTCCTCGAGGTTGTACTTAGGGTCCTGCTGGTTTTCTTGGTTATCTATATTCCTGTGTATAGTCCTAGCAATGCCCTCAGGCGATGCTTCTTGCAATCACTGAAAGAATAAGGGTGTATCAGAAAGGAAAGCACATGTGAGTGAGCCACCATCTGTCCCTGGTGTGTCCTATGTCTTGGGAGCTGAGATGCAAGAAGGGTGTTTTGGGCAGCCTCCTGTTCCCAAAGTCCTGTTCCTTGGATCTACTCATTCCCACCTCTATGTCATGAAAATGAGTAAACTGTGCCTGAAGGTGGAGCTGGTGGTAGAGGGCTTAACTACCATGGAAATGAAGCCCTGGATTCCATTCCCCTACCCCACAAACTAAGCACCTTGTCATGAGGTTCAGATGTCCAGGGTCACCCTAATCTGTGTAGCTAATTCAAGGCCAGCCAGGGATGCACAAGACCCTGCCTACAAACCCCTGCAACCTGGATTTACTGCAAAAGCCCAATCTGTGAAAATAAAAATGTCCACTCCTTCAAAACTCAGTAGCCTTTTCAGGACAATATGGGGCTATGCTATGGAGAAGGGGCCTGAAAGAGAGCTCTGTGGTAAGGGGACAATTATTCATCTTGAGTGAATAAGGGGAACACTACTATATCCACGTGAAGTCTTGAAATACCATACCTTGACAGTCTTATAATCACGTAAGCTGCAATCACCAAGGAAATAGGACATGGAGACCTCCTTGATTTTTTTTTTTTTTAATCCTTTCAAGAATCCACCCAACTGACTGCTTACTCAGAAGGACCCTAGGGCCTTGATCTCCCTCCCTTTGATCTTTCTTTCCTCATGGACCCTGGCTTGCCTGTGGATCAATAAGAGAAGGTACCAAGATATACCATTTACTTCTGAGGTGTACAGCAAGGTGTCCACAGAGCCCAGCCAAAGCACAGCTTCTACATGTTGGTCCCAACAATGGCAGGTGTGGGCCTGATCCTGCCATCTTTCCCAGATCTGTACCCACATGATGAATACACACTTCCCAGTGACCTCCTCTGGGAAAGCTAATGAAAATGAGCAGGCACCCATATATCTGGAGCAGGCTGCCTCTCCTAATTACTATTACATTATAAGGGAGGGGCTGGTGTCTCCATTTTCCTGCATGGGAAAACAGCTGTGAATCAATAAAGCTGCACCACTTACATCTGCTACAACTCCATGCGAGTGCCTGGGCTTTAAGCTCTAGGAAAAGCTGTAGGTTTCTGGTTCTTGGGGGCGGGGATACTTAGAACACAAAAACCAGGTCCACTTGTGGGTGTGACTGGGAGATTCAGGGAGTGGGGGAATCTATAGAAGGCAGGAAGAACTGCTTTCATCTCAGGTGCTTGGATGAGGGTTTTCAACGACAGTCTTAACCAAGGGCATCAGGCTTCTTTGGTTGGTCCCATCTAGGCACATGGGGTAGGTAACATGCTCAGCCTTATTCCAGTTATGGTTCTGCTACCTGGGAGTAGATGGGGGGTCTTCTAACTACACCCCCATCAGGTGTATATCACTGTCTGCCGAGCAAACATATGGCTGGTCTGTGTGCAGGCAGGGCAGATGCTGGAAGGGTTATCTCCTATGAGGCCTTCACAGACAACACCTCCCTCATTCTACCCTGCACTCCTCTAGCTCCATTTCCCAAGATCTCCAACTCTCTGCCTTTCAGCTGAGTTCCAGAGCCAGCAATGAAGCAAAAACAAACAAACAAAAACCATACACACACAGACAACCAGAATCCATGGGGAACCCAGGAAGTCCCAACCTTGTGAAGTAAACTAGCACACTCCCTGTGGTGTCCTGCAGGCCAGCATTTCTCAGAGCCAGGACTGGTGAGGCTGTGAGCAAGCAGGTTAGCACTCCTGTAGCTGTAGCATCCTGGCTTGGTCCTCATCCAGAATGAACGGAGACTGGAGTTTTCGGCCTTGCAGGTACATTTCCAGCCCCTATAAACAAAGGGTTACATGGCTAAGTGTCCACTTTGTCTGTCCATCCATCCAGCTACCCTGAAACAGCATTCCAGTGTTGCCCTCTCAGGGAGGGTCAGCAGAGGGCTAGTGTCTCTCCCTCAGGAAGACTCCCCAAAGTCTTGGTCTCAGCCTTGATTCTTTCCTGTACCCCAACCCTCCCCCAAGACTTGCAAAGGCCTCCAGACCCCTCAGTCCACCACAATCCTAAAAGTCTTCACACTTCACTGCCCAACTAAATTAGGGATGTGACCTGTCTACCCTGGTGTCCACTTCTCACACACACCAGGCTCCATGAACTCCTGGACAGGAACCACAGGCTTACCTCTCCAGAGTAAGACACCAAGGGCGATATTTCACAGATGGCTGGAGGGTCTCCATTTGGAAGCAAGCTGGGGAAGAACAGCTGTCACTGACCTCTCAACTGAATGCGGGGACCCTCCCAGAACCCTTACAATATAAAGTGGTAAGAGCCTGCTCAGCATGAATGTCACACACCAATCATACCTCCACAGCATACTCCTCCCTCTGCACAGCCCAAACCCATACAGGCCATCTGACCAGTGACAGGCTCTGGCCTAACTAAATCAATCACACACAGGGTCCCCGCACAGAGTTCAGACAGTTGCGCCCAGCTGCAGCTCCAGTACAGCAACAGGGGAGACAGACACCAAAGGTCCTTTTCTTCTCTGTCCCTCTGTCTCTTGAGGGTTAGGCCTAGATCTCATCTTCAAAGCCTGTGAGAGTATATTTGTGGACATCTGAGACCCTGCCTCCCTGGTTCCCTGACCATAACCTGAGACTAAGAAAGATGCTAAGCCAACAGTCACAAAGCATGTTGTCATTATCTGGGAACACAGCCATCTGCATCTGGGTGGTGCTGGGTCAAAGGCCAATTGGGACAGTGGCAGCATCAACAGGGCCCTGGGATGAGAATTCTGCTCTCCAGGCTAACCTCAGAGCCCCTCACCCAGACTGCTCAGGAAGCTGGACCCCGTGTACATCCAGGAAGTGGGCTCCAGCCTGCAGAGCCCAGCGGTAGTGCTGAGCCAACAAGGCTCTCCTGGAGGTGGAGGGGTTGTCGCTGCTGGCTGTGTCAGCATTCTTCAGTGGGGAGAATTCCTCCTCCCGACATACTTCAAGGGCAACGAAGTTCCTGGTGGAGAGAAGGGTTCATTATCCTGCATCCCAGCCAGCTGTCCTGCTTTGGACAGGCAAGGGTAGGCCAGATTTCCCTGAATGGGAGTCAGTTCCCATGAGTATGGTGGTCTAGGAGGTCCCCAAAGGCACAAAAAGTACCTTTACTTTCCTGAGATCCTAGGAAACATCAAGTCCTCCAACTCTCACTTGCCACATGTCCAGAGGTGGGGACACTAGGTCAGGACTGTGGGATTGCTTGGGGAGGGGAGCTCTTTGTTCTCTCAGAACCACCAATGTTCCCTTTGTTTTAGGGACAAGAACACCCTCTGGACTTCCCTGAGACAAACCAACCTACAGTCTTTCGGGTTTCCCAACCTGGGCCTTCACCAAGCTTCCCTACTGTCTAAACCCAAACCAGAACAAAGAGAGGGAAGAAAAGAAAACAAGTGACTGCTACACTAACTTAGCAAACTGGAACACATCAAACACAAACTTCTCCATCTTTATCCCATTCGGTCTTAACGGCTTTACCAGATTTCCCTCCTCATCCACATATGGGACCTTCTTCACAGCCACATGCAGCTTCAGCAAGGGCTCAAACTCCCTAGCAGCAAGAGGACAAAGAGGGTATGGTTCAGACAGAGCACCCCTAGAACACCAGTCTTCACTTCTGTATACCTGGCCAGGAGAAGCAGCACAAGGCTCCATCTCTGGGAAGGTCACAGGCTTTCTCCATGTACCCTCAGGGCCACCAGCCACAATGCTGCCCAGGCTAATGACAGGGCAGAGGTGGCATCTGTGGGCAGTGGAGCCAATCCACAGAAGATAGCTCTGACCCAGGCCTCAGACAGGCTTCCCAGATTGTGACTCTGGTCGGAACTGTCTTGTTTATAACAACACAGGAATTCTCTCTACCCAACCCCTTGCCACTCCCAACAGTGGCCTGGTTCAGGCTAGCTCCAGCTGCTGTGGCATTTTTTGATTCAGACTAGGCTGGGTGTCACAGCCATCTGTTGCCACATACCTGGTGACCATATCCAGGAAGCCTCGGGTGAAGAAATGGTTGCAGATGTTGCCTGTGTTGTAGAGCAAGCCCCCATCAGCCCCACGCAGCCCAGCAATCTCAGGACTGATCTCGTTGTATTCCACCACCTGGGGGACACCGTCCACCTGGCACACCACACCCACCGGCTCCTCAGGGTATGCTTTCTCCACCACCTGAAGCACCAGGTATAGACTAAGAGTGCTGGGAGTAACAGGGATGAGGACAGAGTTTGGGAAGAAGCCAAGTGTCAGGGAAAATTACAGTTTGGTGCCCACCTTGGCACCGCAGTCTGCTCCCTGAAGCACACAGAAGCCAATGAAGACTGGGTCAGCCAGCCGCACCAGGATGTTGTCTACGCAGTACACATGCACAAACTCCACACCCCGCCGCTTCATGTCCTCTAGGATCTGGTGATCAACCAATGCACAGTACAGGCCCCCGTTGCCATCTGTAGAGGAGAAAGGAATGGGCTTCTGGGTCATGGACTCCAGCTTGCTCTTCTGCTCAGTCTAGTAAATGCTGCAGAAGCACAAACCACCAAGAGCCTTGTGACTGTTCTCATGTGACAATGAGACTCCACTATGGGCCAGGGACACACAGCCTGCCTGAGCACATCTATGAGTGCCACCTGACCCACAGCTGTATTCTGTGGTCCAGCTGGACAACCCCTCCTTGCCCATGGTGTGGGCGGTACCTGGGGCCATGGCAACTTTGTCTTTCCGTTCCAGTATGGCCTTGCCCTCAAAGGTCACAGCAGGTAGCATGCGTTGCTCGAACAGCACCACGTTAGTGGGGTCTAGGTGGAAGAAGTCACGTTCCTTGAAGAACTTGATTGTGGGTCCCAGTGTAAACTCACTGGTCATGATGTACCTGTAAATGTCCTAAAAGTGAGCTGCTTCCAGGGGAATCTGGCCTAACCTGGCAGGTGTGGCTGCAAGAAGCTAGCTGTAAGGGCAAGAACTGGGCGCTGTCTAGGGCCAGTGCTAAAACTGGGTCTCAGGTCTTGGTGTAGGGGCAGGCCTGGGTCATTAAGGGCAGTCATTCTGGGAGGTTGGCAGGAAGGACACACCAAGGCACGGTGCAGTGGGTCCCCAGTCGCTGACCAGCCAACTGCTGAACACGACGGATCCGCTCTGCTTGCAGTTGGTATAGGGTCTTCTGGCTGGGCAGTCCTACTTGATACATGCCTTTGGGGTAGGTGACACCCAGGCGAGTGCCCTGCCCACCGGCCAGCAACAGGACAGCCACCTTGTTAAGAGCAATCTGTCGGAATCCTGGAGGGGAGGGGCGCGTCGTGAGGAAAGGCCTCTTCACTTTTGAGAGCCACATGTGGGACTGCTAAGGCACGACTTCGGGGTCTACTAAACGTAGGAGGAAAGAGTTGCAAGGCAAATAACTCCACGCAGCACTTCCTGAGTCCGTCCCCTCCCCTCTCCACTCGGCCCCTGGCCCCTTTCTCCTGTAGGCAATGGGCAGCGCCGGCCCAAACCCCGCCTAGTCGGGTGCTGCCTACCTTCCTCTTCCCACCTCAGGAGTGTCTCTCGGTCGCAGCGGACCGCGCTGCCCACGCGTTCTGGGGGCAGGGGCTGCAGGCGCGCCTCCAGGTCCAACAGAGGACCCGGGGCTAGCGCACAGGCGGCCGAGGCGCGCTGGCAGTGCTCACGCAGCGCGTCGGGCTCCAGGGAGGCGAGCTCCGCTAGCAGCGCGGCCTGAGGCTCCGGAGCCAGGTCGGCCCAGAAGCGCAGGAGGTGATCCTGGCCTGCGCGCTGCAGCTTTGCGCGTACATCCGTCTCTGAGGCCATGCTGGAACTGCAGCTGCAGGATCAGCCCGTACTCGCAACCTTATGACCAAAGTCACGAGACCACAGGCGGCGCAGATTCCAGAGGGGCAGACCCAGGGCGTGGCACCCCCACCCGGGACCCCGCCCCCTTCCCCGCTTGAGCTTCAGTTCTGTACTCTTTGGCTCCGCCCCAGCCAGTTTTCCTGACCTGTATCGCGGCCTCCCAGTCTAGCTCCGCTCCTGGCTTCTCACAAGAGACGGGCCCTCTCCACCCCTGCCCTCAAGCTCAAGGTGTACAGTCCAGACCAGGCCCTCCTAGTTCCCAAGGCCTAGATGTTTCTCTCCTAAATAACTTATCTCACGCCACCCCCTCCAAACCCTCCATGTGGCCAGAGCTATTCTGTCCTTGCCCTGGTGAGGCACTCCGTTGGGCTGACCAGATCTAACCCACCTTTCTGCCTGTCCACAGCCCGGAGGGGACCAGTAAGAAAATTAGAGCAGAGCCATTTGGCATGAATTCCGGAGTGATGGTACCTGGGCTTTGAAGCAGCCTTTTGTAAATAGCGATTGTTATCTGAGTTTTTGTTTTGTTTTTGGATTCTCAGAGCCTTTGCATCACTTAGTCCTGAGACATACCTGGAAAATCAGGAAGTCTTATATGACTGAGAATTGCTTAGGTGATGGTTCCTTCAGACAACCCCTAGAGGAGACGAGAGGTTTTGGTAGGTTTTGATACTCGAAAATTGACAAAAGTGCATTTTTTGTAAGTGGGAAAAGTTACTTCTGGAAAAAGTACATTCAGTCTTTGAGAGACTGATGCCCTGCTGCTGAGAAGCCCAACATTCATCCTGCAGTTCCTCTCTTTCTTCTATCCGATTAACCGTCCTGAGTAACGCAGAATACCCACAGTGGCCTGGCAGCTTCTTTAAGTGTCTGAGCCTAAGAGAAGCCTGCTAGATCTTGTAGGTGTTCACCAGGACACGCCCCTGGTGGTGCTGGAGGTGGCCAGACCCAAGCTGGCTTTAGCCTTTACCTCTCTTTCCTCAACTGCCTACCTTCAAGAACTTGGCTTTTCCAGACCTGCATTAATAAGCCCCTTCCTGCTTTAATTTGCTTTTTCATAAAGCCTCTCGGTTGTGTGTGTATGTGCTGTTTTGTTTTTTTGAGACAAGATTTCTCTATGTAGCCATGGCTGTCCTGGAACTCACCTTGTAGACCAGGCTGGCCTCAAACTCAGATTGGCCTGCTTCTACTTCCCAAGTGTTGGGTTTAAAGGAATGTGCCACCATTTCCTGACTTATAAAAAGCCTCTTGGAAAAAAAAAAAAAAAGCATAGCTTCAGCCGTTTTGGAACACAGCTTTTTATTTTTATTTTTTTAGAAACTAGTTTTTTAAAAGTTCAAAAGTATCTGGGTATGGTGGCACACACCTGTAATCGAAGCACTCAGGAAAGTAGAGGCAGGTGTGAGTTTGAGGCCACTCTGGTCTATAGAGTAAGTCTAAGACAGCCAAGGCTACACAGAGAAAACCTGTCTCAAAAAAAATAAAACAAAATAAAAAATTTAAAAGTAAAGCCTGTGGTGGCAAAGGCCTTTAATCCCAGCACTAGGGAGGCAGAGGCAGGTGCATCTTTGAGTTTCAGGACAGTCTGGTCTACACAGAAGCTGTGTCTCAAAAATAAAGAGAAAAAAAGTTGGAAGGTAAGACTGGAGAGTTAAGGTAAGATCATCAGGTCCTGTTGCTCTTAAAGAGGACTGGGTTCCAGCACTCACATGATAGCACATAACCATCCGTAACTCCAGATCCAGGAGATTGTGATACCCTCTTTTAAGTCTCTGCAGGCACACAGGTGATGGAAGGCAAAATACTCACTACATAAAAGAAGATAAAGAAATCTGAAAGGAAAAAAAAGTCCAAATGGATCCTAAATTAAAGGATCTTTCAGCTGGGTGCAGTGGTGCACGCCTGTAATCCCAGTACTGGGGAAGGCAGAGGCAGACAAATCTCTGTGAATTCAACTCCAGGACAGCCAAGGCTACACAGAGAAACACTGTCTCGAAACAAACAAAGAGTAGCATCTTTCTCAGGTCTACACAGCTAACTAACCTGTTTTAAGGAACAGTGTGTCCAGGCAGGCAGCTCCTTCTACACACACACACACACACACACACACACACACACACACACACCCCTCAGATGGAAATTCTGGCTTGGCAGGGTGGAAGGCCACAAATTCTCCTGAAAGGAGAAAGGATTTTTGTCTACAACTACAGCTTAGCCTTGCCTCAAGAGCCTTTGCAATGAATGCCTTTTCTCCTATCTGAACACCATTCTCCAGTCATAGCACTTTCTTTTTCAAAGATTTTGTTTATGTATGAGTGCTCTATCTGCACATAGAAGAGGGCATGTCAGAAGAGGGCAGTAGAGGGTATAGATGGTTGTGAGCCACTATGTGATTGCTGGGAATTGAACTCAAGACCAGTGGAAGAACATACAGTGCTCTTAACCACTGAACCATCTCTTCAGCCCTCACAGTGCTTCCTTACATTCTCTTCTGCCTGACTTCTCCACGAGAAGGAAACTCAGGAGAAAGGATATTGTTTGGTTCATTGTTCTGCCTCTGTCACCTTCCATGAAGAACAGACAAACGGGGACATATTTGTCCACTAAACAAATGAGTGTTAGATCCCAAGCCAAGCACCACCATGACTAGGTCACAGCAAAATGTTCAGGGAGTGCTGGCTGAATGAATAAATGAACAAATAGTCCACCCTGATATGACTTTCATGCAGTGAAGAGACAACTTCAGGAAATATGTGAAAGGTGAGAACAGTAGACAGACAGAGTCTGGTGAACATTATGGGCTCCACACCCCAGGCCAGAGTCCATGGCAGCCATCATCGCCTTTGGGGCTGGGCAGGTAAGGAAGGGCATGAGCCTCTTGGGAGGCAGGTAAGGCATTCTCTGTGGACCTTCTAGGTCAGGATGGGCCCCTAAATTCTGCCTCAAGGTGTGGGTGGGCATCAAGGTCAGAGGTTGGAAACACAGGTTTGTATAGCTGAAAGTATTTCCAGGACCAGTAGACTATGCCTGGACCCAACCTCTGTACACCTGACAGAGGGGCTGTAGCTGGTCTTTTGATACTTTATAGGTTCTTCTTTCTTCCACCCTTCTCCACCCTTATTCTACCACCTTTTCAATCCCCTAACACTAGATAGGAGAGGAAAAAGGATACAGAGGAAAGAAAAGAGATCCCTGAAGGTCAAAGGTCTGAAAGGTGACAACATTACCATTAGACTACTTCTGGCTGGTTGGGGGCATTGAGTTCCTTGGGGCAAGTTTGAACTTCACAGTCAAAATATCTAATTTCTTCATATTGTTTCTTCTTTGGGCAGGACTACTTAACAAACTGTGAACAACCTCCCTCAGGGTCCTAGCATTTATATACTGTCTGAAAAGTCTGAAAAGTCTCCAGAGTTCCAAATATCACACTCTCACAGAAACTATCTACAACTGGCAAAATCACCCCTCTGCTAGAGCATGGGGCAAATCACAGTCAGCTGCTGTGGACAATCTGAAGTAACCCAATATCCCACACCTGGGATTAAAACAAAAACACTTTCTTAAATTATTTCTATGAGTTTTTGTTTGTTTTTGAGACAGGGTTTCTCTGTGGAGCCTTGGCTGTCCTGGACCAGCTTTTGCTTTTGTAGACCAGGCTGGCCTTGAACTCACAGAGATCCACCTGCCTCTGCCTCCCTGGGATTATGGGCATGTGCCACTGTGCCCGGCTATATCTATGTTTTTTAAAGAAACCAAAATTGTCACTATAGGGAGCCTTCCCCTTTGTCTTGTGTGTGTGGGGGGGGGGATGTCAAGGGCCTAGGACTAAAGCTATAGTGGACACCAGAAAAGCCTAGGGAAGGCTGGAACTAGGCATCGCAGCTGTCCCCTTTCCACACCAGTGGGAGCTACATCAAGAGGCACTGGAGTCTCACCAATCTCACATCTGTCTGTATCCCTGCACACTTCTCTCCAAGGATTGGGATTGGTACAGTGAGGATAATCACACCTGGTTTGAATTCAGAAAGTTCCCTAGGCTGGCAAAAGTAAAAGCCATAGGACCAGGCTGGAGAGGAGGAGGAGGAGGAAGTGCTCAGAACTCCGGCCAGAAAAGATACAAGGTTGTCTACCTTCCTCCTACACCCAGGGCCAAGCACTTTCTCCAGTAGTCAGTCCTAGGGAAGCCTATAGATGCAAGGCTAGTGTCAGCTACCTTCTGCTGGGCTCTAAGCAATAAGGAGCTCTTTTGTCCTTTTTCTTTCTTTCTTCTCCTTTTTTGAACTTAATGATTTCCCTTCATACATATATAATGTACTTTGATCATATTCCCCTTATTATATTATCTTATTCTCTTTTCCTTCTACAAAATCCTTTTGTCCTCCCAATAAGGCTCCCTCATACTTTCTTGTCAGTGTGTGTGTCCCACTGCAGCTAATCAGAATTGTCAGGATGAATATCAGTTGGAGGTTCTTTACATAAACAAAGGCAATTTGCTACCAGCTTCACTACTGAGGAATATGACTCCCTCCCCCAGAAACTATTAGCTGCATGTGGCTGCCTAGGGAGAGGTTGGGCCTCCTGAGCTTCACCACCCACAGACTCTTCTCTATGAGTAAACTCAGGTTCACCAGGGCCCTGGCTTGACTCTTGTCAGTTTTGCTGTACTGAGCAGCACTGGTTTCACTTTATGTTGGTGGCTACTCCTGTACTGATGCATTTGTCCCCAAAACTCCCAAGGCCTCATTTGAGCTTGGTACCCACTGAAGAATGGCATCTACACTATAAAGATTCCTGTTTGCTCACTATCATTGAGTGCCTATAGTAGGTCAGACCAATGCTAGGCCTTGGGGTGGCTCTGTCTTATTCTCAAACATTACAATAATTCAGGGAAACAATCACTATAGCCAGGCATGTAAGGTAAATAAAAAACAAAACAAAACAAAACAAAACATCTAAGTAGATTTTGGGGGCAGAGGAAACAGGTGATGGGGCAAAGTCTGAGAGTTCATAACAATCAACCAATACAGAGGGTAGTTCTCTTCATGTAGCTAAGTACTAGGCAAGACATGAGATGAGAAATGTGAAACATCAGGTCTTTGGCCAGGTCTGTCCCTAAAGGGGTAGCTAAGATGCATGGAGTAACTCTGGGCTCATAGTTCTTTAGAGGCCTCCACCAAAATACCTTACCATGAATGAACCAAAATTAGGAGTGCAATGGGTGTGGTAGTGCACAGCATTAATCCCAACATTCAGAGATCTGAGTTCCAGGCCAGCCAAGGTTGCATAGTAAGACCTTGTCTCAAGGCAGACAAACAAATAAAAACAATTTAAAATGAACAACCAGTAGAAATGTGGAGCCAGAGGAGGTGGGCAGGGAAGTTGCTTCCACAGCTTGATTTACATGCCCTCCTGCCTGCTCAGATGGGGTCATGAGTGAGTTAAGGTCCTATGTGTTTAGAAAGCAGAGGCAGCAGTTAACACGTGAGCTGTTCTCAGTGGCTACATTTCTGTTTCAGTGACATTCAGAAGTTTGGGAAGGTGACCACCTGGAGAATAGGGGACAGACAAATGAGTTGGCGGTGTGTGTGTGTGTGTGTGTGTGTGTGTGTGTGTGTGTGTGTGTATGGGGGAGTGAGGCACTCCAAGGACCTCCCTGGCCTCTTGGGGTTGCTCCTGGGCCAGCCCTGAGGTGGGCTTCTAGGTCAAGAATGCAGACTAACGCCTAGAATCCAAGACAGAGGGGGTTAGTGGTCCCACAGCTAGGCCAGAGCTGTGAGGGCCAGGATAGTGGCTAAAGATGTACATAAAAGGGCCAGAGCAGGGGACCAGAACCAGAGCAGCAAGGGAGGTGGTCACCGGATGGGCATCTGGGGACACACAGACAACTTGGCTTTGTCCTGTAGTTGGCAGGACAAGGCAGACTGTCCCAAAGGACCAAAGTGGAGCTGACAGGTTGTAGGGACAGAGGCCTCAGTGGAGGAGAGCGCCCAACTGTCTGGAGCCTATAATCCTCTTGGGGCGTTTCTAATGTAAGAGAAGGGAGCCCCAGAATCAATCGGCGCCTGGGGCCAGGGACCCTCAGTGAAAAGGACTTAAGAGAGCAAGAGGAGCTGGACCTTCCATCCTTATTTTTGAGGCTACTTGGGTACAAGATCCGTGAAGGGCCCAACGCTCCGCCCCTCAGAGAAGTGGCTGGCAAGACGGAGCGCAAATGAACCAGGAAAACAAAACAAAACAAAACAAAACAAAACAAAACAAAACAAAACTACCTTGGCAGAAGGGATGGTGGATGTGGAGGCAGGAGTATTGTCGGGGAGCAAAGATAAGAACTCTGTCAAGTCTACCCGTGTCTCCTCAGATCTCCCGTGACCCACTTCCAGGCCGGGAGGTGTGGGCGCCACAGCCCCTACCGCAGGAAAAATCAAACTGGGACTGCTGGCGGCTGAGCCAATCCCGGAGCAGATGGTCCAGTTTCAACCAATAGCCGTTGTGAATATTAATGAAAGCTGACGTGGTGGCAAGCCGAGCTTCATTCAAAAACAGCAGCTATTGTCGCCACAGGGCGCGCGCGCCACCTTGCAGGTCCCGCCTTCTGGTCTTGTGGGGACCGGCGCGAGTGGAAGCTGGGCGCCCATGGCTGTTGCAGCGATGGCCGAGCGTGGCCGCCTACCTCACGCTACGCCGAGCACGGAGGGGTTACCGCGAGCCTTTCTCCAGAGCCTACGCACCCTCTTCGACATCCTGGATGACCGGCAGCGCGGCTATGTGCACCTGCGCGAGATCGAGTGCCGCTGGCAAGGTGCAGACGCACGCGAGCTGCCCTGCGGCGTGCTGGAGGGCCTGCGCCAGGTAGCCCCGGCCAATGGCTATCTGACTTTTGAGCGCTTCGTGGCGGGTTTGCGCACCTCGCTGTTGAACGCCGACGGTGGCCCACGGGATCAGGCACACGTCGCGGCCCGACCTGGAGACCAGTCGTTGTTGCAGCAGCGCCTGATGTTCGCACCGGCGGATGAGCCGCGGACTGTCCTGGAGAGGAAGCCTCTGCTCCCGAGTGCACGCCCTGCTCCTGCTGGCCCCAGTGGCACCTCCCGGAACCCTGAGCTATTGTGTGTCCCGGAGGAGGCGGCGCCCTGCTCCGCAGAGCCCAAGCGGGCCCTGAGTAAGTCGCTGGAGCCGAGCCCTAACGCGGATACGGGTGAGTTTGGGCGGTCCCCAGTTCCACCTAGTAATTCCTGGGATCTGTGCTGGAAACTGGAGACTGGCAGAGTCTCTTCAAAGGGATGGACATGGGGACGACTGTGAGCTTAAAGCAAGGTTGGGGACAGCTGGATGGAAAGAGGCTCTGCCTGTGCTGTGTAAGCTATGGTCAGAGGCCCATTCCAGGGCCCAAGTTAGGACTCTGATCATCCAGGAGACAGACGCCCACTCTACCTCAAGTCTGAGCTAGGCATTGGGGCATCTGTGGCGGTGAGAGAAGGCATGCTGCCTGCGCTACCTGCCCTAGACCTGGGGACATCTGGGCACTCATCCTCATTTCTGTGTGGCAACTTGGGCACACGTTTCTTCCTAAAAGCACACATCCTCTAACCTGTCCTGAAGGTCCTTCTCAGTGTGACGCCCTGAAGAGACAATCCGGCTTACTTCTCCACCCAGGCAGAGGAGGTGGCACAGGAGCACAAGTGCTGAAGAAGGTCGGGTGTGTGTATGTTGAGGTAGAGGTGTGTCCTACAGCACCTGCTGTACTGTGCTGCTGCAGACAGCCCGCCAGACACAGACCATGATCCCTGGGGAATCCAGGAGGCTCCTCTCCCTCCTTCCGGTCTATTTGGCAGAGAGGAGAATGTTGAATAGCCCCCTGTCTGCCTTGAGAATAGGACCTGCATTATGCCTAAGCACGGAGGCAGCTTCTCGGAGGAGCCCAAGCCCCTCTTCCAGCCCTGCAGCCCATTTATCCTGTGTACTGCCCTCCAGGGCTGCCCACTGGTGGCAGCTGCCAGTCCATTTTGATACTTGCCACGTTCTGCCAGTCTCAGCAGACCTCTTCTACCTCAACCATGTTCTACCACCTCAAAACAGGCATTTGGCAACACAGCGGCCCTTATCTCCCTTGTGAATTGATACACACACACACACACACACACACACACACACACACACACATCGAGAGAGTGAGAGAGAGACTTCTACTTGCAGTTCAAGCCTTGACTCCCTGTTCTTGTGGTAGGGGAGGCTTCTGGACATAGCTGGTCATCTCAGTGGCTGTGTGTTTGAAGTGCCCTGTGATGGGACAGTGTGTAATGGACAGACTCAGGGTTTGCCTGTGGCCTGGGTCAGTTACTCCTCGGAAGGCCATTTGCTCAGGGACCATGACTGGGCAATATTTAGCCCACTGCTTGCTCTGTAAACCTAACACCAGACTCTGGCTCTAACTCCTTTTAGGTCGGGCAAGGTCCAGATATGGATATGGTATACTTGACAAAGCTTGTTTTGGAAGAGCCGCAGAATCAATTTAACTTCCTAGGAAAGTCCTCCCAACACAAATATGTCATCAAATTCCCAACCAGGTTTATGCCTCCTTTCTGTGTTAAGTCAGGTCCAAGTGTCCTGGATTCTTTCCTAGAACTCATTGCCAATACCTGCTGTGGTCCCACCTTCCAGTGGTTACCCATCTCCTGGCGGCAACGTCTTTCTGGCATACCTCCCATTGCATCACCCTGAAATTGCAGGCCACTCAGCACAGCAGGCTGGGACATGAACTCTGGGGAGTGCTGGGAACCAGAGTCTCTGTCATGCACATTCAAGCACAAGTATTATATCTGCTACTCATTTCTATAGGGATAGGGTTGGAGGGCCTGAGGGAAGGTGCCCTTCTCCCTACCTGAGCTCCACTTTTGGTAGGTGGGGAGGTGATGCTTTCTGATGCTCACAGGAGTCTTTGGCAAATGTATGCACTGCCTCTGCACTTACATGCACAACTTGCTTATTTTGTGCTTCTGTGCAAGAATTAGGTCTCCATCACCAATGGAGAATTAGTTTCCCCACTACAGATGCTGTTCCACAAGGCCCCGTGCATTTGAGAAAGGCATGGAGAGAACCAGAGGGTTCTGCCTGTCCATCTTTTTGTTTTGTCTTGTTTTCAAGACAGGGTTTCTCTGTGTAGCCCTGGCTGTCCTGGACTTGCTTTGTAGACTGGGCCAGCCTCTAACTCACAGCAATCTGCCTGCTGAGTGCTGGGATTAAAGGTGTGCACCACCATGCCCAAGCCTGTCCATCTCATCTTTTACCCTTTGATACCTCTTACCCTTCACCATTTGATACTCCTTGAGAGGTATCCTATGATTTTTCAGCCACTGGGGGGAGGAGTGCAGAAAAGAGTGTATTTGTGCTCTCTGACCCCTCAGAGAGTTCATCGCCCTCCTTAAGGCAGGTGAGGGAAGCAGAGCAGGCAAGAGGAGACCAAGTTCTAGCTAGGCACAAAGTAACAGATAAAGCATACTCAGGGCTCAGCACTGACCGGTTCCCAGTACAGGCCTGGTCCCTGGGATTTGCCTTATCAGAGTTGGGAGGTCCTGGAAGGGCTGAGGAGCTGGGGTGAGATTATGAGCCTGCTAGGCAGGCCCAGAGTTAAGCCATGACCCTGACTGTCTGCTACAGGTGCAGCAGCCTGCAAGACCCTGGACATAGGCACAGGTGAAGCCCGGCAGGCTCCACGAGCCCGAGGCGAACGTCGAAGGCATACCATCACCAACGGCGTGGACTGTGTCCTGGTGAGAGGGGCCAGGACTCTGAGGGACTCTCTGTTGTGGTCCAGAAGGTTGGAAACCAGGCAGAAACCAAGAGCCTGCTTACTTGGGGGATCCCTGTAGGAGAATCGGTCAGCTCTCAATCTTTCTTTCTTTCTGGGCTTGAATCTACTAGAGGGAAGACAGACAAAGTCAGGCAGTGGGAGAAGAGGTTCTTTAGGGACCTCTCTTAGAAACCTCTTGCTCCTCCCGGCCCCCAAGGTTATGGTTCTATCTTTTCCTCTGTTCACAAACTACCTCTAGACAGTTGTGTTGTTTTTTCATTCAATGTTCATTCGTAGAGACCCACCATTGCTGCTGCTACCAGCACGAACATTTATCCTCCCATTCTTTTGCCTATACTTTCCTCCCCAAGACACAGGCCAGTCACCAACTACCCCACACCAGGGAAGATGGGGCCCTGTCCCATGGATGCTGCAGCAGAGTGAGGAGGAGCCCACTTTGATGGGAAGGGTTGTAGGCCACCTACTCCCCTTGTTCTGTGGGGGAGGGGTGGCCAGTGTTTGTCCCAGCCTGGGGCCTCCCTCTGGTTTCCTATTTGCAGATACTTGAATTAAAAAATAGCCTTTTCTGGAGAAAAAGCAAGAAAGAAAAAAGGAGAAAAATAAAAGGAGGAAAGGATGGAACCAGAACGTTGGAAGCCAGGGAGAAGCAAAAGGTCTCTAAGAGAGGTTCTTTAGAGACCTAGTGATGGAGGCTGGGACCCTGTCCTGCCTACCACATCTTTGAAGGCCAGCTTAGTGTACACACAACATGATCACTTTAAGCAGGAGTACTAAGTCTGGTTTGTCACTCTCCCCCTCAGTAGAGGGGCTGAAAGGGACCCCCATCATCAAAAGAGGAGGAGCTGGGCTATGTTCTCCAAAGTTAAGTTTGAACCTTCCCTGCATAAGTTGACACTTCTATGTGTGTATCTGTAGACTGCACATGTGCTGGCATGATGATCTGTGCCTGTGTGATGGCCTGCCTGTGCACAGGTCTCAGTCTCCACACCTGTGTCTCCTGGAACATATCAGTATGTACAGGTCTGTATAATGTCAATCTGCTTGCTGGCACGAATACATTCCTATGTGCACATGTGTGTTATAGTTGAAGCAGATGAAGGAGTTAGACCAAGAACAGGAGGTGCTGCTGCAAGGCCTGGAGATGATGGCTAGGGGCCGAGAATGGTACCAGCAGCAGCTGCAGCGTGTGCAGGAGCGCCAGCGCCGTTTGAGCCAAAGTAGAGCTGCTGCTGTGAGTGTTGGGCCACCCTTATCAATAGGACCCAAGTTGCCCTGGGTGGGCTCCCACTAGGCTCTCAGCTGAAACTTTAGGGGAACAGGAGTGCCAGGTGTAGGAAAGTCCTCATGGCTGGTGTTCCCTGCTTCTCTTCCAGGACTTTGGGGCTGAAGAGAGCCTCCGCCCTCTGGGGAGATTGCTGCCCAAAGTACAGGAGGTGGCACGGTGCTTGGGAGAGCTGTTGACTGCAGCCTGTTCTGGCCGAGTGAGTGCTCTGAAGCCTGCCTGGCACCCCTTGCCCTTGTTCTGGATGCTATGCCAGGAGAGGCCAGCCTGATTGTACACTCCCACAGGCTCTGCCTTCGTGTTCTTTGGGGCCCCTGGGCCCCACCTCACCCTCAACACCACCAGCCTGGCAGCAGCAGACTATCCTCATGCTGAAAGAACAGAACCGTCTTCTCACTCAGGTGAGGTGTGGGGAGATGGGGCTGGGGCTGGAGGCCCAGCAGGCCCTGACCACCTGCCAACCTGCCCAGGAGGTGACTGATAAGAGCGAGCGCATCACTCAGCTGGAGCGGGAGAAGTCTGCACTCATCAAGCAGCTGTTTGAGGCCCGAGCTCTCAGCCAGCAGGATGCTGGGCCTCTGGACTCCACTTTCATCTAGCTGGTCATACCTCTCTAGGACGTGCATACAAACTTAGCCTCAGCTCCGTGGCACCACAGAGAGCCAGTCTTCTAACTGAAGACCACCAGCTGTCTTAAACTACAGAACCCTTAGGGCACCTGCCTCCACTTTTATAACCTGGACTGGCCTGACATTACACAGTTCCAGACTTGGGGTGTTGATCCGTCATACCTGAAGCTGCTACTTCCACTGTCAGTGGATGGTGGAGGACCATTCCTCATGTTTACCTGATTTCAGGCAGCCCTGGACAGAGAAGGGGGCATGTTTACAGCTGTCCTGTCCTCTCTCCCTGGGATCCCTGGTGTTTAGTAAAAAGTACTGGTCACACCGGGCTGTATTTCTCATAATGCCCAGAAGAGGGTGCTTGCTGAACTGGGTTCCTCTACCCTATTGTTTTACGTGATTCTGCATGATTGAACAAGTAGTACTAGGAGGCCTGGAGACCAATAGGTTAGGGGTCCTTCTCTTCACCAAGGGCACTATGGCAAGGTGATTGTGGTGCAGATGGGAGCAGAAGTGAGGTGTGGAATGGAAGGAGGACAGGACCCTCTAATGGAGGGCTCTGTTTGTGCTTGTTGGAGGAGCCACAAAGTCAAGGTTTGAATGTAGCTGAGAATGAATCTGGCTATAGCTGGACCAGGCCAGTCTGGTTCTTAGAAATAAGCCAATAGCTTGGATTCCCTGCTTTACCTTAACTAACTGTCCAGGGAAAGATGGCATCAAGGTAGCTCAGATGTGGCTGGCCATCCCTTAAAGAGAGGTTCTGTCCCCTAAAATGAGTGAGTCTTGGCCTCCCAGCTGAGTCATGACGTGCCCTGTGGACAGAACACACCCACTGCACAGGGTGCAGGATTCCCTGGGTCTGGGCTCTGGTCACATCTCCATCTTTCAATCCCCTACTTGGTCTGACAGTGTGATCATAGAGAAGCAAACTGGGAGCACATGAAGACACTGAGGCTTCTTGGATATGACTCTTCGTGCTCATACCTCCCTTTGGTAGCTGGGGTGGGCACAGATTGGATGAGGAGAATCTGTTCAGCTCAGTCTGGTGGAGCCATGTGCTTACTATGAAAGGCCCAGAAACATCACAGGTGAATTCTGTGGCCTGAAGCCTCAGTATGGAGTGTGAGCATTTGTGGGTACGGTAACCATGGAGTCTAATTTTCCCACTGTGCTTGACCTGCAAAGCATACCCAATCAGGTACAAATGATTCTGGCACCCACACCATCTACTTCAGGAATTGGAGTGACTAGAGTGGTTTCTGGGCTGGAAGGAAAGCTAGTACTAAAAAGCAGTTGTGTTCTATAAGCTCAGAGTATCTAGATAAACTTGACTTAGACTAATGCCATCTAGAGACAGGTCTCCATGACAACAGGTTGGGTCTGCCCCCCCAACCTTCCTCAAGATGGCCTCCTTTGTGTTCCTTGCCCCTGTACACTTGCATTCCATGGCTTAGCACTCCTATTCCTCAGGTCCTGGGAACACTTGACTAGTCTAGGTTCTGTAGACACAGCCTGTGACACAATACTTGAGCCAGACTGCCCCTCCAATGGAGACCCATCTCTCAGCAAGCTCTGGCCACCTCAGTCACAGCCTCACTTTCCTCTTGGCTTTGCCCAAGCTAACTACTCCCTCTACAAAGCAGAATCCCTGTTTTGCCCACTACATCCTTTCTAAACTTGATCAGGTCACATGGCACAGCAACAAAACATAGATGGTGGCGCATGCCTGTAATCCTAGCACTGGGGAGGCAGAGACAGGAAGATCTTTGAGTTTGAAGCCATCCTGGTGCATTCCAGGGCTACACTGAGAAACCCTGTCTCGAACACCCTCGCATACACAAAAATTACACAGGTGCAAGCTAGGTTGCAGCTTCTCTGAAATGTCTGCCACACCTTGAAGTGCTGCATTGGCTCCTAACATGGGATCACAGGCGAGAGGTGGAGCAACATAGGCTCTGCTCCTGGGTCACATCCTTTAGGAGACCTCTCACATTTCCAGGAGTTAAGTTGAAACAAGATGACACAGATGGGAGTTCAACAAATATGGCCTCATGGCCCTGATAAGAAGCAGGATAAGAAAACATGTTTGTGGTTCCTGTAATATTCTATAGTTTCTTAGAAGTCTATGGCCTGAAGCCAGACTGTCTGTGTGGCCCTAGAGACTTCAAGAGAGATTTTTTTTTTTTCTTTCCTGAGATAGGGTTTCTTTATGTAGCCCTAGCTGTCCTGGAACTGACTCTATAGGCCAGGCTGCTCTCAAACTCAGAGCTCTGCCTGCCTCTGCCTCCTGAATGCTGGGATTAAAGGTATGTGTCACCACTATCAAAGGTGGAATTTTAAGTGTTCCTGATAGGCTGGGGGAACTAGCAGAGGCCAGTACAAATCCTCAGTGGAAACCCTGCTCCTGTGGTGTAGACTAGGAAAGTGTCTCCTGCATGCTGACCTCTCTTGTCTGAGGTGAAATGTAGCATTGACTGCCCTCTCTGGTGCTGTAGTGCACACAGACTCCCAGCTGTGACAGCCCAAACTGTCTAGAGATTGTTCTCAAAGAAAACCTTTTCCAGGTTGACAGAAACACAGCTACAACAAACTGGCTTCAAGCATTTTGTGTAGAGTAAATTTCAAGGAGATGAGCTTCTCCAGGTTGAAAAAAGAAAAGAAAAATCACAGGCTCCAGAAGACAGCAAAAGACAGGACCTGACAGGACTGCGGTACTATAGTGATCACAGAGAAAACAGTAATGACATGTTTTATCTAAAGAAATGGAGGGGATTCTTGAACCTATGAGCAAGGAATAATAGTCTGTACTCTTAAAGGTGTTATGTATCAATAGAATAAGATGATACCAAGGAATATGAATAAAGTAGAACTTCTAGATATGAAAAAAAAAAAATAATGAAATTAAAAGGTCTCCACAAGCCGGGTGTGGTGGTGCATGCCTTTAATACCAGCAATCAGGAAGGTGGAGAGGCAGGCAGATCTCTGTGTGGTCAAGGCCAGCCTGATCTACAAGAGTCCAGGACAGCCAAGGCTACACAGAGTAGCCCTATCTCAAAAGAAAAAAAAAAAAAAAAAAAAAGGAAAGAATCACCTACCAAAAAACCCACCACAGTGGTAAGAAAGAAGAAACTATCTGAGGGATGAAATGGAACAGGGGTCACTAGGAGGGCAGTGGAGGAAGGGAACAATTGAGGGAAAAAAGTATAACCTGAAAACAAGAAAAAAGCTGGGTGGTGGTGGCACACATCTTTAGTCCCAGCACTCGGGAGGCAGAGGCAGACAGACCCCTCTGAGTTCGAGGCCAGACTGGTCTACACAGCAAGTTCCAAGACAGTCAGGCTACACAGAGGAACCTTGTCTGGAAAAACCTAAAATAAAATAAAGTGTAAGACACATAAGTATGAGAATGCCATTAAGAAATCCATTATTTGGGCAGGAGAGATGTTTTAGTTGTTGAGAAGCTGGTTGCTCTACCAGAGGCCATGGATTCAGTTCCCAGCACCATATATTGACTCAGGCATGCATGCAGGTATAACGCTAATACACGTAAAAAATAAATTAGGTGGCTGGATATGGTGGCACACAGCTTTCATCCCTGCACTGAGGAGGCAAAGGCGAGTGGATCACTGTGGGTTTGAGGCCAGCCAGAGCTACATAGTGAGATTCTGTCTCAAAAACAAATAAAACCCATTATTTTAGATAGCAATGTAAAATTAATTTAAAAATCAAAGGCCAAAACAATATAGTTATTAAACCTCAAAGTCTATACCAGGAGATGCTAACTATACAGAGCACAGGCAGAGCAAAACACTTTCAGACAAAACAAAGTTTACCACCAGAAGACAATCATTAATGGGGGCCATGGGTGTATCAGTAGGAAGATAAAATTCAGGAAAGATTCATTGATAAACACAAGGGTTGTATAGCAAGTAAACCCCAGACATTGGTTTTAAGAAAATATTTTTATTTAAATAAAAAAATAAATAAGGTTTTTTGTTTTTTTTTTTGAGACAAGATTCCCTGGCTGACTTGGAACTCACTCTGTAGGCCAGGCCACTCTCGAACTCAGGAATCTGCCTGCCTCTGCTGGGATTAAAGTCATGCACTACCACATCCAGCAATGAAAAAAACTTTGTGCGTTGTTTGTGGGTTAGGGGCCAAATGGTTCTGACTTGGGACTGCTTAATAAAAAAACGGTAACTACAATAACTACAGGGCACTATAGCAGACACCAATGAGGACTGATTTCCAAATCCTAACCCTTTTCATCAAGGAGGTAGAGGGGTTGGGCTCCACCCTTCCCAGCATCTAATAATCTGTGGACATTTTTGAAAACAAGCACAAAGGGCCTGGGTAGATGGCTCAGTTGGCTAAGTGGATGCTGCACAGTACGAGGACCTGAGTTCAATCCCCAGCACACACATCAGAAGCTGGGAGTGGTAGTGCATGTATGAAATCCCAGTGCTGGGGAGTCAGAGACAAGAGCATCCTTGGGGCACCCTGGCAGCCAGCATAGCCTAATTAGTAAGTTCTAAGCCACTGAGAGATACCTAATATTAATCTCTGACATCCATAGGTACATGCACACATGAATGTACATCAATCAACATATGCATAACATTAAAACTTGCACACAAAAATAATTAAAATAGGAAAATCTTATAGAACACCGCCTAGTAACAGCAGCACTATTTTGTGGGGGAAATGCAAGATGAAAGGGAAGTAATATCAACAGTGGCAAGCATTGAGGGGCCAGGAGGAGTGACTAGTGACACAGGCACTTGCAGGTATTTAATTGTTCATCAGCAGGACCATGTGCCAGCTAATGTTACATCAAGTAGGTATGTTAAAATAAGCAGGCACACTAGATTCCATTCAAATAATTAAATGGAGGATGCAGATGGGAGGAAGAAGAAAATCATTTAACCTAAAACAACAACAAAACAAAACAGAGTGGGCATAGTGGTACACACTGTAATTCCCACCATTGGAAGGCAGAGGCAGAAGGCTCACTGCAAGTACGTGAGGTCAACCTAAGCTAAATGGTGAACTCCAGGCCTCTGTAGTGCTGGGATTGCAGGCATGTACCATCATGCTCAGAAAACAAAATAGGGTTTAAGGTAAGAGCTATTACTAATCACAAAGATGACAGCTGTCTAATAATAAGAACTGATTCTCTAGGGAAATAACAATTCTGGACTTGGAATCTCTCTTGGAGCACATAGAGGACATAGCTGTCCCTTCAAGGAGGGTGTGCAGACAGCCCCGTGAGCCACACAAAAGTGCCGACAGAGAGTGCAGCGAACTCCATCACTGCACTCCATTCAGAATGCCTGAAATAAAATACTCTGGCCACATCATAGGCTGCTGAGGAAGCAGAAGGACTGTCACTTACACACTGCTGGGCATATGACATAACTTTTCAGAAAGACTCATTGTGCTGCCATGTAAAATAGTTTAGTAATTTCTTTAAGGACTAAAATTTGGATCAGTGGTTAAGGTATTTGCTGTGCAAGCCTGATGACCTGAATTCTGCTTATTTCTCATGTCTAACTGCTTGGGTTTCATCCCCAGAATATATGTAAAGGTGCAAGAGAGAACCAACTTCACAAAGTTGTCTTCTGACCTCCACAAATGCACTGTGGCACATACTTAATTAATATTAATAATTAAGTAATTAAAATGCTTTTAAAAATAAACTTTTACTAAAATTTTATATATGAAGGTGCTAATTGTATATGTCAACTTGATTATATTAAGGTATCCAGTTATTTGGTCAAATACTACTTTAATATTATCAAACTAATAATTAAATGGATGGGCTCAGCTGGACAGTGGTGGCACACACAATTATTTGTTTGTTTGTTTGTTTGTTTGTTTATCCAGTATTCTGCCAGCATCTTCTTCTGCAGGGCAGAAGAGGACACCAGATCTCACTATAGATGATGGTTATGAGCCACCATGTGGTTGCTGGGACTTGAACTCAGGACCTTTGGAAGAACAGCCAGTGCTCTTAACCTCTGAGCCCATTCCAGCATTCAGGGGGCATAGGCAAGCAAATCTCTGTGAGTTTTAGGCCAGTGTAGTCTACACAGTGAGTTCCAGCACAGTCAAGGCTACACAGAGAAACCCTGTCTCGGAAAAAAAAAAAATTAACGGGCTCTAAGTAAAACACATGAGTGAGTGTCACCAGTTAAGATAAAGGTCTTAAAAGATAAGACTTCAGGCAAGAGCAGATCTTGCTCCTAAATGGTCATTGAGTTCAAGGTTGCCAAATGCAACATTATACATCCGACTGTAGACCTGCTTGCACAGGTCAGAGCTGCAGCCTCTACAAACATTTTCCTCCACACAGGATTCCCCTGTGTAGCCCTGGCTGTTCTGGAACTAGATCTGTAGACCAGTCTGGGCTTGAACTTAGATCTGCCTGCCTCTGCCTTCCAGGTGTTGGGATTAAAGGTGTGTACCACCACTGCCTGGCTGAAATTTTTGACTAATCATTATGTGATTACTTCCATTCTATGGAATTTATCTCCCAAATATGAATTTATTATTTAAGAACATATAACATATACATGAATATTCATAACAGATGTATTTTGGGTTTTGGTTTTTGAGACAGGGTTTCTCTTATATTTTTGGTTGTGAGTCTAGCCTTTAACAACAGCTGAGCCATCTCTCCAGTCCAGGGTTTTTCTATGTAGCCCTGGTTGTTCTAAAACTCACTCTGTAGATCAGGCTGGCCTTGAACTCAGAGATCTGCCTGCCCCTGCCTCCCCAATGCAGGGACTAAAGATGTGTGTCACCATGCCCAGTGTTATGGAGGCATTTTCTCAACCAAGGTTTCCTCCTCTCAGATGACTATAGTTTGTCAAGTTGACATAAATTTAGCCAGCACAGTATTGATTAATATTACATGCATTTTTCCATTTATGTAACAGTCATGAAATACCATAAGTGGACACAAAGGGAACTGTCGGTGGGATCAGGAGTGGGAGATGAAAGGGGAGAGAGAGGCCTTTTAGCCATCAGGCAGTTGAGTTTCATAGTGAGGTGACGGTTGCACAAGGCTGTCATGTGATAAGAACTGTGCACACACAAACTGTCATGACTGGTGACAAACAAGCTCCTCAGTTTCTTGGTCTCACTCTGTCCTCTAGTTGTAGACGATGCCAACACCAATGAGGCTGGGGAGGGACAACAGTACTAGGCATAGTCTCTGTAACATGTGAATACAGAATCATTTAAAAATCATTTAAAAATGAAGCTTCAGGGGAGCTGAAGAAGAGCACTGGCAACTTCCAGAGGACCCAGATTTTATTTCCAGAGCCACATGGTGACACATAACACCAATTTCAGGAGATCCAAATGCTCTCTTCTGGCCTCCTCAGGCACCAGGCAAATAATAATCCATTTCAAGTGAATAATTTCTAAGAAAATACAAAATCAACATTCAAGAAGAAATAGAACACCTATCTAGCCATATAACCACCAAAGATACTGACATGATAGTAAATAATAGTTTAAGATATTATGTCAAGAGAATGCCAGGCGTGCATGTATTTATACTGGTAAGAAATGGTAACCTGAGTACTAAGCACTCTCTTTCCAGAAGGTAATTAATTGTAAGAAGTTAGCCTAATCTTGACGAAAATCAAACAGGGACACTGGAAAACACACGTCCCCATCCTGGAAATGCATGAACTACATTCAACTTTGATGAGTTGTGAGGAACACAAGGCTGCTATAACATTTTTTCAATGTTGTAATGAATTAATGACTGAAGAAGAAAATCCATTGCTGCCTCAAAACATGTATGAAAAGCATAAAGTAAAATCAGAGCCTGGTACCCACATGATAGCGGGAGGAGAGAACCAACTCCAAAAAGTTGTCTTCTATAAAATAAATGTGCTATTAGACAATTCAAAAGATTTGGAGGAAATTAAAAAACACAAGTCAAGATGTAAAGAAACAATCTCAACAGGCTGTGTATGGAATGGTTCCTTCCATCATTGTCTGAAAAAGGTAAAACTACAGAAACAGGAAGAAGGTCATGGGTGCTGGGGCCTCAGATGGTGTCAGTAGTTGGAACCCAGGGGATCCTCCGGCATGACACAGTAACAATGGATCCATGTCACTGTACATTTGTTAAGCACACACAAGAGGTAGCCAAGTATGGTTGTGACTGTGCATGATGGTATATTGATGTTCATTTAGTGGTAACCATTTGGTAACCATGTGCCTTTGATGACAAAGGATGTTATGTGAAAGAGCAGGATGTGGGGATGTGGTCCATTTCTGTGTAGTCTTCTTTTGGGAGGTGGGGAATTTTGAAACAGGATTGCTCTGTGTAGCCCTGCCTGGCTATCCTGGAACACTGTAGACCAGTCTGGGCTCTAACTTGGAGACCCACTTGCCTCTGCCTCCTGAATGCTGGGATTAAAGGTGTGCACCACCACTGCCCAGCATCCTGTGCCTTCTTAATATTGCTATTTATTAAAAAACAAATGTCAAAAAGAAAAAGAAGAAAAAAGAAAGGATGAAAACCACTTCCATGTCAAATCAATTAATGTTCTTTATTTACTTGTAAAAGAGACCTCATGTATCCCAGCCTGTCCCTAAGTCCATGTTTAGGTGAGTCTGGTTTTGAGTTCCTAAACTTCCCTCCCAGTGCTGGAATTACAGGACCACCGTGCCAACTTGTTTGCTTATTTTTTAAAATTTTATTTTAATGATGGTTTCTGTGCAGCCTTGGCTGTCCTGTAACTTGCTCTGCAGACCAGCCTGGCTTCCAACTCACAGAGATCCACCTGCCTCTGCTTTCCAAGCAGAGATTAAAGGCTGTGTCACCACTTGTTTACTCATTTTAAATAAAAAACTTTAAATCAGGAATTTGCTGTCTTCATCAGGG